CATTGCATTAATCTTGCTGAGGCTAATGCAATGTAAGCCGGAATCAAGAGTCGCCGCGGCTACTCCATGCTAAGACCCAGGCCGGCCTTTGCCTATGTGCCCGTGTAGTACTGTATGGTTGTTCCATGTTTTTCTTTCGTTTTGGACTTACATAATGTACTAAATGCACTTCAGACAGGAAATATAGCACTGCTAGGTTTTTACCACTTTTACTTATTCTAAAGCTAGCTACAGGCATAACTGTGTTACACATAGTGTTAGTGTTCAACTTCCTGTAACTGTTATGCGTTGAACTTCATTATAGATATGATAGAATTGCTAATTTGTTAGCAGCTGTTGGGGGAGGCTAAAACCGCCATGTTTTCCTATCTGCCCTTTCCTGTGTGAAACCATCTCCTCCCACCATCTGCTTGGAGATTACATACATGCCATGACCTATATTTGTTGTGACATTTTTGGCCATTGGTTGTAAACAGATTGAGAAAGCAGGCATGGACCTGTGATTTGGTCAGGCACACTGGGTCACCCTGAAATATTCTTCACAGTAAGTGTGTTGGGTTCTTGAATGTGTAGGAGTTTGACAGCTGAAGTTTCCACATACATACGTAGCACTAAAATAGTCACTTCTTACATATTAATATGTTTTATATGTTTTGCACTGTCAGACCCAGATGATTATGATTGGCAGCCGCCATCCGAGGCTGACCTGAAGGTGATTGAGGCACGTCGGGAGCGGAATGACCAGATCAGCAAGCGGATGGGAGACTACCTACTGAAGGGGTGGAAGATGCTGGGTACTAACTGTGAGGAGTGTGGGGTGAGGGGGCAAAAATTTACCTTGATCCTCTGTCACAGTCACAGGTTTAAATGTAACGTTACCTAATTCATCTGTATATATATGTACTTACCATATTTGTTCCCTGTACAGTGTATTCTGCTGAGGGACAAGCAGGGAGCTGACTACTGTGTGGCCTGTAATGAACTTGAATCTGATCATGACAAGGATAATCCAGGTGAGGATGGCATGGTTCTATGTGTACATCTACGTGTATTCTCTAATATATATGGTTGAGTGTCATCTTTAAGGTTTAAATGATAGCCAACGTATATAGTGTTATACAGTACATGTACTTAGATTCCTTGTGACTGGTGATTAGGCCACACCAATTTATTTTCTTGGTTAACGGATTTTTGTAGAAAAAAAATGGAGCGGGCGGGCGAAAAAAAAAAATAAAAATAAAAATTTGATACTACCTGCCATACATGATGTAGTGTGAAATCCAGACTGCTTATTAAGTTACGAAAATACTGGGAAAGAAACAAAAGACAAGAGAGGATGTACCGTATTGTGTTTTATTTGCTATCCACACCATTTGGGTTAATTGATAATCTTTTTCGTACACGAGCAAAATGCAGAAAACAAGTTTTAGCATGTTACTTCCAAGTTCCACCATCATCATATGTACCCTGATATGTACTCTAAAACATGACACGAATGTTAACTCTCACAAGCAATTTCATAGTCACAACAACTTTAAAGGGGACAAAATTTATTCAATTATACATGTACTGTACCTAGATTCTGCTTTGATCCGAAGTTCCAGCTTTCTCAAACAATTTAAGTCCGCCATGAGGCTCCCGCCAGAACAAAACAAATGACTGAGCCAACATGGTTCCAGAACATCGCATCTGATTGGTCAGAAAGTAAAACAATCCACGATTGGCTACTTTACGTCATGTGACTATGTGTGCAGGAGCGCCTCTAGCGACATTGGTATCAACTGCAGCAATTTCATTGGGGTCTCCCTGTTCAGTGTATTACCGGCCTGTGGGGTCTAAACTATGACGTTTTTTATTTTTATTTTCATTCGGCAAAAAAAGCAAGCGGCGAATCCGTTAACCAAGGAAATAAATTGGTGTGGCCTGAGGCAGTCTTGTTAGCCTGTAATGCTGACTTTATGCAAACTATAGTCTCTTAATTTCAAGGGGACAATTCCTAGCCTGGGTGCCATCCTCTGTAGTTACTGCCAGCTCCCTAGTTGCCAGTGACATTAGGGTTGTAATAAAATATAACTATGGAGGCTGGCACCCAGGCTAGACAATCCCAATTTTGGGTTACAGTAACTGTTCTTTAATGAATTCATAAGATTGATGTTGTAGGGCACTTGTTGGGAGTTCTGTTTTGGGCTGGATTGTAGAGAATATGAACATATTGTATATATTGTATTTCTGTAAAAGAAGAATATATAGTTTGTCACAAAAAAAATGTCACCTTCATTAATTCATGACTGGTGTAAATTTGGTCTTTATGCAATGCTATATTGCTTCTTCTAATATAAATTTTATTTGAAACTATGGTTATGGGAACCTTATCATTTAAGCTGTATGTAGTTTCTTTTCATAGACAAGTATCAGGTGGTTGCACCCAGTGGTTTAACCTGAATCCTTTTGAAAAAGATAGTTTTTCACACTTTTCCTGTAAATAAAGTTGCTGCTAAACCTACACTCGAGTCTCAGTCCTTTATCCCGCTTTCTTTGACACTAAAGAGGGCCTCACTATTCTTACAGTAGGGAAAGCTGGTCGTGAAAAATCAGGCCTGGAAAAAATGTGTTTCCAGTTTCAGTCCTGAAAAAAACTAGGGTCACTATTTAGGGATTTGTTTTTCTTTTTAGATTTAAGCTGAACTGATCCGACACCAATTTTATGGACTTGCCAGTTAAAAAAAGGGTAGCGTTGACAGGAAATTGAAACCACACAAATGTCAACAATGAAAACAAGTGCTGGAAACTTTATCAAGAATGAAATGGAAAACAGGTTTTTAAACTGCGCATACCAACATGTTAAAAAATCTTACATTTTCAACCTCACTTGGCAACTTTATTTCACTTGTCCGTTTCTAGTCAGACATTCTAAATTGGCAACTGCCACATTACCAAATTGGTAAGACAGCACTGTCTAAGTCACTTGTCTTGGTACTAGTATGTAGTTCTTAGGGGATAACAAAAAGATTGGTCGCACAGTGCCTTGTGCTCTGCTCAGTGATCTACATGTACATGTACTTCAAACCGATCATTAATCAAGTACCATCTTTGTTGTTGAACTTGTAACAATAGGTTGATATAAAAAAAATTTACCTTGAAAATGTTCTGGTCATTTCTGTGAGATAATTGCACAGATATGTTGAAAAGTGGGAGCAAATGACAATTTTTTTTCAATTTTTGGTGCAAAAATGTTACATGATTTCTCTCACATATTCTTTCCCCTACTAAACCAGGAAAAAGTTCAACTTGGTAAAATCACATGATTGTCACTTCAGGCTCTCTTTATACATAAACATAGTCTAATACCACATAAAAATTACACAACATGTTGAAATGGCACTGTATTCATCCACTTACTAGTACATATATCCAATAATTATTAATACAACATCACTACAATCATCAGTGGCAAAAATGCCTCCAGGATTCTGCAAATGGTTGTTACACTGGAGCAGAAAAAAAGTTGTGGATGATGAATATTGATTTTTCACTCAAATGGACCTGGCCTCAATAGAATCAAGACACATGTATTTCATTTTGTAATACAGTTTCTAAACAACCACACTGGTCGTGACAATTTTCTGAAACTCGACTCTTTTAATGACGTTAATGCATGTCTTTACATGCACATCTTGATGCATTGGTAAATAAAGTTATTGTTAAACAATTTCTGATGCTATTTTGAGCTCAAAGGTTTTGCAAATGGGGGTACTAGTGTTATCAGAAGAAATTTTGCTATTACTCCATAAAATCAGCTCATGTTCGTAATACAAATTTTCTTTTCAGTCTTGAAGTGTACATGTAAGCTATATATGGCACTAGTGTGTCTTCATATAGTTGTAGTATACTGCTGCTTCACTTCTGTATTGTCAGAAGGCAATTGTTTCAAATACATGTAGACAGTGGACAACTTAGCAAAATGATATGGCACTAAACTGACAGCCAGATATTGTATTGGACTATGCATGTAAGCTATCTGTGTGCCACATCTGTAAATATTTAAAGGAAAAGACAAACATAAAGATGTCATATGCAGACTTCTGTTGATAGTTGTAATTGTGTGCTATTCAATTTGCAAATATTGAAAGTTTCCTTTACGTCTTCTTTCTTAAGGATAGCCATTTTTGATAAGCCTTTTTATTTTCAATTTACGCTTTTCTTTTTTAAAAAAATCACCAAAAAAACATAAGAAAAAGCACTACTTATGAGTGTCTTTTTTGTAACATCATGAATTAGAAATATTCAACAATGGAATGTTCCTCGCTTGTATACATGTACATGTAAGGGAACAGTTGTCTATTTGGATGGTCAAATGTAGGTATCATTCAAGTTATCTGTACTTTTATTTGTACTATCTGTATTATTTCAATTCCTCTACATGAGAGAAAATAAACATTAGAAAGTTTGAGTAGAATTCTAGTTCATACAACAGACTGTTGTCAAATGGGAAAATATAGGAATTGAAATTTTGTCAGAATGTCTTTGGAATGCGTCTTTGGTAGCACAGTCGCTCTTGATGTTACTTACTATGAGTATGATTCTATGAAATAGTAATAATAACAGTTAGTACATACATATACAACAAAGCAGCATACTTATCAATAACTGCAGCAAATACTAGGTAAAACAATGGCACCATAATGACTCTATATTGACATGACGTACAAAACAATGTCATAGTGGACTCTAACATCATAGAAAAATTCAATCAAGACCTAAAACAATCCAGCAAAGAACTTTCTTTGATTCTACTACAAACCTAGAAGTCCTCTTTTCAATGTGATCACATACGACCTTTCCATAATTGTCTACCCTGTTTCTTTATCATAATTTATATCAGCAACAATTTATACAGAATTAGAGTCCACTAGGAAAGTACAGGAAGAAACACATTTTGGGATCAAAGACAGTTTCATTTTCAAGCAAACATATACATTAAATGGTGCAGAAGGCAACACCACTGCTATAAGAGTGGCTAGTTGTAGCAGATGTTTTTTCCTACATACACATAACAGTTAAAACAGTCATATAGCTCTCTATAGCACGTCGGCAGAACGTACTGCACCTGCACAAAATCTGTAAATTGCGCATAACACTTCGGCAGAATGTCTCATATAAGGTTATATTCGCGCATATAAGGTTAGCATCCCGTCTGTAGTTTCCAAATGTTGTGTCGGAAAAGATATCCTCTGCAACAGGCAAAATTCTGATGCAACTGTGACCAAAAATCTGACGAAAACTGCAAAAAGTCAGGGTTTTGCGCAGGCGTAGTACATTCTGCCAACTCGCTGCTCTCTATCTTTCTTCTTGTAAGGCATAGCTGGTCTACAATGAACAGCCACAAAAAGACAACTACGGAATCACACAATCACTCGGCACGTTACATGGCAGGGTTCCCTCTAGTTCGCAGGATGTCTGGTCTGAAGATTTTCAGCCGTATGACCTGTTCTTTCTTCTTGGTCAGGTATTTGATGGCGTCCTTGTGTGTGGCCATTGTCAGGTCGTAGCCATTAGCCTGCAACAGAGAAGAGCGACAACAAACATTAGTAACTTCAAAGTATTATCCTAAAGCATCCTGACATTACTGTTACATGGACCAAATGCGAGGCAAACAGTCTAGCCACTCTACCCATCGCACTAGTGATAATAAGTCTAGCAAAATATCAATAGAATTTATTATACTATAGATAATCTTCATACCTGTAATATTTTGTCCCCCGGATTCAGCCCTGCTCTTGCTGCTGGTCCATCGGGCATAACATTGGTCACAAATATGCCCTGTGGTAAGTACAAAATATGAGACTCAAACACTGGATTTGATGACATTCAATGTACATATACATCTGGACAGTGGAACATTGAACAAAATTAGTGTTGTTTTTTGCCATCTAAATGTTCCTGTATACTAGTATTAGGACAGTGCAAATGCAACATGTGTATTAGTAAAAGACAGTGCAACACTGAGAATGAAATGAGTGCTGTTTTTGTTATGAATAATACAAGCTGATAAGAACAGGTCATTTGAGTTAACGTTGTCTGTCATCTTTTTTTGGTGAGAGCTACTATGTGCAACATAAAATTGCTATCAACTTAAAAAGGAGACGTGTTTCCCAGTAAGAAAAGGGGGGGAAATGTTCAAGCTACCATAGCAGTAGCCACCATATCTAGGGCAAAAGTACAGTACATGGGAAACGGCAAACACTTGCTGGAATGTGTGTAATGTAAAACATGAATGCCAGATTCTTGCTCTGCCCTGAAGCACCTCTAGTAAATAAACGTACTTCCTGTACCTGTAACTTTGTAAGGAAGGTATGTCAAGTGACACAGCTCTTCAATATGCAAATGATGTAGACTTACTCATGATCATGCGCAGTATGGAAAATATATTCCTGAATGTAGTGGCAGTGGTTTAGTGATATTACAGCTGAATAACCTGTTCAAAGCAAGATGCTTATATATCATATTATAACAATTTGAGATTTACAGGATTAGAATTAATTGTAAATCTTGAAATATTCGGGGTGGCTTCATTTTTACCGTTTTTACAATTAGCCTGGGTACCATCCTACTTGTATGCCGGGGCTCCCACACTCGCTTCCCTAAGAAGTAGTAGGGAAGCGAGTGTGGGAGCCCCGGCATACAAGTAGGATGGTACCCAGGCTATTTTACAATGACCTCTCTGCCACAAATTGAGGACATTGATTTTTTAAAGAAAAGTAGGTAAAAATCATGGTGAAATCAGCTTATTTGAGTTAGGTTTTCAAACAACTGGGTCATCAAAGATCCATGTAGTGCCCACACTGTCATGTCGTAGGTTATTGGGACAGTCTATTATAATATGGGTGGGATTATATCGATGATATTGAATGTCGCAATCTGTGTCTCGGTCTTGTCTTGGCACCATGCTTTTTTGTAAGAAGACCACTTGTTTAAGAATGGCACTTTTCCTCTGTCCTGAACTTGGGACTGAGGAAAAGCAAGGATGTCATCAAGTTTGACTGTACCTGAACTGAGCATGTGGGCTCCCACGAAAACCAGTCTTAAGACTGATGGGACTACCTACCTGTTCCCAAGATAAATAAATGAAAAAAAAAGCCCGGTTTACCCACCGTGTCATCAGGTGCCCATGGATTTCTGCTGGCATCCTGGTCGATCCCTCCCCCTATGCTGAACCCCAGACCAGCTGAGCCGCCAACTGGCTCCTTCACTATCTCTATCAGCAACTGTAGGGGAAAAACATCAGTCAAATATCAGCCAACACTCTGAATTGTTATACTAACGTTACATATAATATAATATTACAACATGTACAATATAGCCGGAAGGTGCCCATTTCATATTGGTTATGATGCCAAAACCTTATTAATTGGTGGTGTTTAAATCCCATAAACACTGCAACTGCAAGTGGAACAAGCATTCTGTTTGAATGACTGCTGGTGACTCCACAAATGGAACACCCAAGTGACTCCCCCCAATCCAACTGTTAAAATGGAACAGTCCACCAATCAATATACCTGAGTCGGACTTCAGAAGGACTGCCAGCTGATCTCACTTCCCCTTTCAACTTTTCCAATACGTAACAGCAGAAAATCCTGTTGTTTCAGACCAATGTCCTACATAGCAGTTGACAGGAAAATCCTGACATGTACAATTCCAAGGAACTTACTTCCTATAATCAGTGTCCTAAACAATTGGTCACAGCACTGCACAAAATAACTACATCGGTATTAGGTTTCAGTCTATTTGCTTACATACAGACTTCTGTCAGGAAGTGTCCTTGTAAGAGGAATTTCAGGTAAAGGAAATTCCAATGCCGTCATACCATGGCAATTCTCAAACAACTGTTACTAAACTGTGTAGTATCCTTCATACTAGCTTACAGTGTAATATAGATCTATCCTTTCTTTTCTAACTCCATTCCTTGTATTTAAATCTCTGTTGAATATAGCATGGTTCTACAAAGTGTGGGTCATGTTTTTACATTCAACTGAAACTACTTGTGTTCAAAACATAACATGTACAATAGAAGAAGGTAACTATTTCGGTAGCAGCTGTTTTGCTTTTTGTGTCAACTTCTTACAGTGACCATCTGGAGAGTTGGACACTGAGAGGACGGAAATCTGCAAACTGTGTTCCAAACCACAGTGACATTTCCTTAAAGACTTAAATGAAAGCAGTGGTACTGAGGCTAGATTAGGAGACCGTAATTTAAGTCAGCATGCTCAAGGCAAAGGTTTGGTCCTGTTCTGTACATTAAGGTTTCTCCCCCTTAAACATGCCAGCAACTTCAAAGGAAAGATCTGTAAAACATATGGCTTTAGAACTTTGATTCCATTTCCTGTCTGAAAACTGTGCAATGTTAACTGCTTTCACATCTTACAGTATTGGCCATTTTAGACCTATAATTAGCTGGGCAAAGGTAGTAATAGAAGTACATTCTGTATTCAATTGGCTTCAAACATAAACCAGCAATTTACACCAAGGGTCCATAACCAGTGATGGGTGGAAATATTGTCCAGTGAAGACTTACTATTTAGACATTACCTTGTAATATAAATACTGTTCATACATGACAGTTCAAGACAATGATTTTCAAACCAAATTGCTTCTAAACACTAAAGACTGTCCTATATCTATGTTGACGATCAGCTGCATAATAAAGAAAGCACATAATTGACATTTGGGTTTGGTTAGGCTCTGATGGGGTCAGGCACATAATTTTTCTAGCCTTTTCCTGAAGGTACGGCTGCGTTGGAAATGATACTCTCAAGTCACTGGTCTTAAACTATCCTTAAGGTTGTTCACCTTAGTCCTAACCCTGGACTTGACACCAAGGCCGCGGGGTCAACACAGAGAGGGGTGGGGCACCAGAACTGTCAAAAGGCTCCGAGCCTATCGCTCGGCTTTTCTGTGCTCCCTTCCCCTTCGATCGTCAAAGCTAACAATTTCTAATACTGTATAATAAGTAGTGTCTATGTACGGTAAGGGTTGGGTCTAGGAAAACGGAAACACCCTAGACAGACGGACAGACGAACTGCACACAAAAAAACGGACCAGGCCGGAGAGATCTAAAAGGATATCTGTGTCGCTTCAGACGGCATCCCGCCCGAGCTAACAAACGCTCGCTATGCGCGACTGAAAGTTCAAGACGTCAGATTTCGAGACATGAACGTCTTGAAGACATACACCCCTCCTAATAAGAGCGACAACTTACGCAAGGAATGCCACCGATCGGAGACCCAGCCGCCATGATGTTCTGATCACCACTGGAGTAACGCTGTTTCTTACCCAGCACCCCCCGCGGTGAGGCTCTGAAAAGGGTTCTACCGGCATCTTGGAGAGAAAAAAAATCACCAGTTGTTTTTGGCAGATACATTTTATCTACAGAAAGATAGTTGAAAGTCATGGTTAATAATGTTATACGTGCTCTCGAAGCACATGTTGACGAATAAAAACAAATGCAATACACACATAACGTTTTCATATAACCCATACCACACCCTTTTAGGGTCTTCCTACCAGCCCCTTATACGATAACATCATGAGAACTTTATTGCACGACAAACATAGAACAATACAACCAATTGCAACAACTATTGAATATGGCACAAAAAGGGCATAGAATAAAATCATTGTTATGAAATTTGAATACTAGAAGTTGATCATTATTGGCTGCAGACCAGAATTCTGGCGGCACACAATGTTTTAAGATCCTTAATTTGCATTCTTATGTTTACCTTCGCAGTAGGAAAATATATTGTTTTTGCTCAGTTTCTCCCTCTTCTTCTCCAAACAAGACCAGGTCAATGACCTGGACCAGACATCTGTCACCATGGTAATTGGTGTTGTCACAGGCACCCCGTGGTGTTGGATTACATTATGTAGCAGGACAGAGTTAGGGGGAATAGTCACCATAAATATGAATGTGTTTGAGTAAGAATAAACAGAGCATTTCGTTTAATTTTTTCCTCCCGGCTTGGAATTGTGACCCCAGCAGAAGGAAGGCTACTCAGGAACGTCCCCTTCTCTACTTGCTTAGACCGTTCACTGACATTGATCCTGTCATGACCCCTACGCTTTGGATAAGGTGGATTCAAATTAATTAAGTTAAGCGTGCTCTAGTTTGCTTTCCTCAAACACGCGTACCTCCACACGAGCCTTCCAGGCACTGACAAAATGGACAATCGCACTGTAGTAACCTATTCATACACATGATTTGCTGAGTGCTGGAGGTCTGGACCTGTCAGTTCAAAGAAGCACGTTAATCCCTCAGAGAGACCATCCCTTTATCATCTTTGTTAGTCTTTAAATACCACCTGACATCTGGTAACGACGCTTATCATTCTTCATGAAATGCCCCCAGCCTTCGGGCCATCTTCACCTGACTGAGGCTGTAGCACTATCCAGTCAGAGACGGGCACACAGGACCAGAAAAGTGCGGGGAATACTTCAACATAGACAAGAGCGGAGGTAAGTTTTTGTCTTGTTGATTTTGAGCGTCCCATGATAATTTAGATGCACCACTAAGAAACATGTACGCGAAAGCAGTAGATCGAGACTGACAGTATCATGCGGTGCCTAGATAATTGTAGTGCGAACGGCAGCCGCACAAGTAACAAAATTTTACATACAGACAACTTAGAATTGAAGTCTCAACTCTTAATTTTCAGTTCATGATTTTAAGCATGTACTTGTATGTTTCAACATACAAATACATGTATTTGTAGATGATGTAGATGCATCTGTATTGGCAGTAAGTTGTACATGATTTGTGTGCTAATTTGTAATGTATGTAACGTTATCTGTTTCATGTATTTGTGTACGTTTATTGTCAACGAGTCCTGAAAGATTAGCCCCAAAAATGGGAGTAAAATGGTATCTCAGTAAGGTCAAACTAGCCTCTACCTATATGTTCGGAAATAAACATTCCTACAATTGAAAATGAAACATTGATTTTTTTTCTAAGAATTCGGCTTGTCTTAAAAAAAGGGACGTCGTGCAATTTTGTGAAGATACAGACGACATTAATCATAAGATAGAAGGACGCGGTGTCACAAATAGCACACTTGCACACCCGGCTAGTGAAGGGCAGTTCCACAATTCGACTTCAATTAATGACATAAATCATCCGCTACACCCACCCAGGAATATCATCCATATCATCCCTTTGAAACTGAAAAATCTGTCGATTTTGTAGGAAGAATATGTGAATTGCCTTACGCGCTATCCCAATCAATCATCGGATAATTTTAGGGCGGCAAAACCGGATTTTCAAAGTTAATTTTTTTGGTCATTCTTTTTATGTAGTAAGTTGGTCAATCCTACCTAATAGCAAACCTTGACGGAAAACGGTTGTTTGTTTCATATCGTAACCTGTTTCTAGATGCAATGTATTTGTGGTGGCACCCAAAAAATAAAGAAAACGCCTCACGTAGCTTGTTTTGGTGCTATGTCAAACTCGTCAAGTATGAAATGATGACGAAAATTGCTAAGAAATGGCAGTACTAGTAAATTTCCATATCAGACATATTTCCTCGTCCGGAATACTTTTTGTTTGTTTGTCGCCCCTGAAATTGCATATGATGTCTTTAACAAAGTGGTGCCCGTTTTGTACAAGATACAAACGCTATTAATCATAAGATAGAAGGGCACGGAAAGCACAAAGTAAAGGAAAGTTTAATATACCCTTCTCCCTTTGACTTCAATGCTATCCACATCCGCTACACTCAGGTATATCATTCCTTTGTTTGCACAAAATCAAACAGCCAGAGAGGACCCCATCCAATCACTTACTACATATGATAGAATACTTTCAGATATGCTGCGGAAAGCAACCTTCTCTCGGCGGCTATGTAGGATGGCCGGCTATATTAAAATAACGCGTTAAAAACTCTTCCCCACCGCCGCGGGGCCTGCACAGGAGGCTAAATTCTGGCACGTGTACAACCAGAATTACACATGTGATCTTTATGTGAATCTGACTGAGAAAATGTAAAAAGATATGCCTATAGATAAAAAAAATGATCCACGCATGTAGTTTCTTGTATACGTATTTTTTGTTTAGCTATACCATCAAATTCACATTAAGATCGCATATTCATAGGTACAGTCGTGTATGTAATATGTTTGAACACGTTCTTGTTTAATACACATCTAACTACGTCACACACGCGTCACACACACGGATTCATAGGGATTCGAAAAAAAAACGTCCTGGCTGGTCTTGTCATTAATATCGCAGATTACTTCTCTTTTCTTCTCTTTTCTTCTCTTTTCTTCTCTTCTCTTCTCTTCTCTTCTCTCTCTCTTCTCTTCTCTTCTCTTCTCTTGGCTTTTCAACACAAAAAATAGTCTGTCTGGGGGAAACGAGTGCTTTACATGTACATAATGCATTTGTATAACCAAGGTGCTTGATATACCTAATAGCCTCGTTAATAGAACGATGCAAAATAAACAACACCTCGTTGTGTGATCATCACCTCCAAAACCACCCACATACAAGTGTGTATTTCAGCTTGTATATTACCATCTATTGCCGCGGATGAGAACACGCTAGATAAAACATGGTAGAAATTAATCCCCCTGAAAGTGGCTACTTGTTGTTTTTGCACGATCACCAAGTTACGTGTGTTTTGTTAACTACATACACAAGAGGGGGTTCTTCGATAATTATGCCCATAGGATTACGTCAGTTACATGTATGATGATTCCTTCAGGCAATACAAAACATCTGTCAGCACCGTGGTAGTTTCTCAGACATGGACTGATCGCCGTCGTCTTTTTACGTCAGACAGTGTCCACTAGGAGTCCCGCAACAGAGAAGGTGGTAAGGTAACAGAAGAAATCTTGATCCCGGAGCTTTCCAGGCCTATCCTGACTTGAGATCCTGTCGCTTCAGTAACAGAGGTAAGCCAACGTCGATGAAGATTAGACATTGAGATACACAAGACAAAGCAACTGGATAGATTTTGAAAACTGTCAGACCATTTAGGCAGTATCCCGGAACTGACATTAGCATGAACTTGTCTTAGCTTGTCACCAGCTTACTTTTTGTTTCCGATGGACTGTCTAAAATTCACTGTCTTGATTTTTCTAACTTTTATTTCCTTTGGGACTTCAAAAAAATTGTCTTCATTTATTTGCATATCAATCAATAGTTTGTGCGTATATACCTACATTTCTCCTCTCGTCTCTCAGTCACTGACGAAAGCTAGTGGATACTGGCTGAAACGTCTGACCGTTTCCAAAATCATATCCAGTTGCTTGAGTAACCATTTCCTTGCGAGGTAAGCCAACGAATTCATTCAAGTTCCCATACTGTATTCTCCGAATTCTCCGGAAAACTGTTGCTTGTTTTGTATCGTAGCCTAAGTTTTAGCTATTTACGGGTGGTACCCCAGAAAATAAAGAGATAAAAATATAAAATAAATTTCTCTTAGACTGCCTTCGCTTTGTAAAGAAAAAATCCATTGTCTAATGCATTTACATTTTCTAAATTTCATATGAATGTTTCATATTAATTTGTTCTAGAGAGTGTGAGTTGAATGGGGTCCTCCTTCAGCCGGAAGTGGTTTGGACTCGCCCATCTGGGCAGGTCGGGGGTGGACGATGACTTCCAGTCTAGTGACGTCATGACGAGTTGTCGCGTCATCACGGTGGCCCCCCGGGACGACCCCTCCCCCCAGGAGGGCCGGGAAACCCCGGGGGAGCTGGCCTGGTTCAGCACCCACCTCACGCCGCTGGCACGGGGCGGCATGGTCACCCTCAGGACTTTCCGAAAATTCGCCAAAGACACGGAGGTAAGAAAGAAAGGAAGGATGGCCGACAATAAAGGGTTTATTCAAAATAAAGTACTGTACGTTTTAATACATAAATACTACGTCTTAACACTGCTGTTAGTGTTCTGTCCCCTGCATAATGGTACGGTCCAAAAAGTGGTCGGTCATTCTAATAACGGACCACTTTTGAGGTTACGGCCTGATAACCGATGGAAAACGGAGCCTTCTGATTGGTCAACGTCTCCTGGCTATATGATAATATATATTGATCTGCATACTTTCATAACATAAAACACAATTGTGTGTGTTTTTGCAGTTGTCAACAATGTTGGTATTCATTTTTTTCACAGCAGACATTTGCTGCTAAGTGGTTTAGTCTCCTGGACAAAGAGGATTCAGGGAAGCTCAGTATCCAGGTGGTCATCGGAGGTTTGAGCAGACTAGCCAGGTAATCTTCCAAGTATAGGGCATTCAAACGCACGAACACGCATACATACAAAGAAGTACTTCTTAGCTATGGTCACTTTTGTCTACTTTTGATCGCTTTTGATACTTAAACCCGGATAGCGGCTATACACGAATAAACGAAGTATGGTTGTTTCCTCTCCTCCCAGTCACGAGCGGCGGCTGAGGCTCCTGAAGTGGCTGGAAGACCGACTGGCTGACTTCTGCACGGAGAACATCCTCATCACGCCGGACAGGCTCAGGAGGTTCTTCTTAACGAAGGGGGTTAGTGTGCGATGTGTACTGATTGATGGCAATACTTTATGAGCTCGTGCATGCGATTGTGTGTGTGTGTGTGTGTGTGTGTGTGTGTGTGTGTGTGTGTGTGTGTGTGTGTGTGTGTGTGTGTGTGTGTGTGTGTGTGTGTGTGTGTGTGTGTGTGTGTGTGTGTGTGAATATTTGTCCAACATTACATCTAAGTAACGCTGCCTCATCCTAATGTCTGTTTCCCCCGTAGACTGTGGAGAAGTTGTTCGGGCTGGCGGATGTTGACGGCGACGGGCGGATCCCCCTTCAGGAGTTACTGGGCCGACTTTGTCTGCTATCCAAGTAAGGCAACGGAACATACACGCTACTAGAAAGGGTCCCAGTCCTTAGGACCGTGGTCCACTGTTCATTGTGCTTGTCGAAAAGAGCTAGGGGAATTTCCCCCCGTACAAAAATTAACCTGTGAATACTGTACATAGCGTCTGTCTTCTCTGTCACGACCAGTGAAAGATTAGCTCTTCAGTGAGCTACAACTGGTTCGAGATCACTTTTTTCTTTCTGTAGTGTAGTTACAATATCACGACTGGCGTATTTCGTTGGGCAGAAATTAACTGCCTTGTCCGAATAGAGTCTAAACGTGCTATATATACGCTATACTTGGGTGCGTATTTTGACACAGAGAGCAAGAAAGCTCATGCCATTCGTTTACCGAATGCAAGAAATGCTTTGTCATTTTCATTCATAACTTAACGGAGGTATTACAAAGCCTGTTATGCCGTATATCATGTCCTTCCCATATCAAGTATGCTGTTGTGTATGTCTGTGCTTCAGTATTGACAACACTACCAAGTACCAAGCGTGGCTGGAGTACCGGTTCGGCCTGATCGTAGGACCGGGATCAACCATCAGCCTGGCGAGTTTCAAGGCGGAGTTAAAGTCACAGCAACATGTTGGGGTAAGTCATGGCTGAAAGAAATAACCTTAGATCCTCACGATATCTATGTACTTAGAACAAACAGTTTTCGTTAACTATAGAAGTATCGTTTGAAAAAAGAACGTAGGAGTTAATGTCCCGGCCCCATTCTTGCCAACTCTGCCTCCCTGCATTTACGCCTTGGGGAGCCCCCATTTCAGCACCAAGGACATCGCGGGGGGAGGGGGAGACAGGCAGGCAGGCTTAGAGGCAGCCGCTCGCTCCGATGTTCCAAAACGGAAAGATAGGGGGCGACACGTTGTATTTGGTTTTGTCTGCTGTCACTTAACTCCGTATTTATAAACGATCAACGCGTAAATAAAGCTTCCTTTTAGTAAAATCATTAGTATTAGAAAACTAGAAATTTACGTACATGGAGGCCGGCTCACACCGGCCATTTACGGTATAAAAGCAAATCTACACATTATGATAATGAGGGTTATTCTTATGTTGCAATTGTGTGATAACCTTGTGTCCCGTGTCCACAGTCGTTCATATACGGTGTAAAACACGTACATATACTCACTATACATTGTGTCTTAATCGTGTTTTGTGTGGAAAACCTTTCGTCCTGTGTCCACAGTCGTTCCTGGCCGAGCAGCTGTTCCACGTGTTAAACAAGGACGGCGGTTCTGAGCTCAGACTCAGCGACTTGATGGCCGGACTCTCCTGCCTACTGAAAGGATCAGAAGAAGAGAAGGCCAAGTTACTGTTCCAGGTCTATGACGTGAACGGTGAGTACATGGCTCTTCCAAAGGTTTATGTTGTTTCATCGTCTGGAATACTCAGGTATTGAATGACCGGCCGTGAAAGACTTGTTGGAAGCCTTTCATTTCGCCAATGTAGTTATGCTTTGCTGGCATTATACTGCCATTTCTTAGCACATTATTGCCATCATTTTACACTTGAAGCGTTATGTGAGACGTATTTTTGATACCACCCTTGAATAGCTAGAACCAGCCTACGATACAAAACAAGCAACCGTTTTCCAGAGCTCGCATTTTTGCCTCAAATACATCAGTATGTTATGGTTGATTCAACTTGCTGTATTAAAAGAATGACTAGACAATTGGCTTTGAAAATCCATTTTTGCCCCCATGAAATTTCATTGGATGCCTTAAACGGACGTCCGTTGTATGCCCTTTCAACATTTATATTCCTCTGTGGCCACGCTGTGCCGAGGTTTCTACGTCTTCCATTTATGACACATGTATAACCCTGTCCGTATGTCCTCAGGTAACGGGTCCATAGACCGTGGTGAGTTGAAGCTGGTGCTCAGCTCCTGTATGGAGGAGGGCGCCTTCAGTGATGACCAGATCTCCGACCTGACAGAGGCGCTGTTCGAAGACGCCGACTCGGACTGCTCCGGGGCCATCACGTACATCGAGTTTCTTGAAGAAATGTCGCGGCAGCTGGAACTGCTAGACTGTCTGGCTCTGAGGTTCGTGTGATTATGCTAACGTTACCTGTCTGTTGTGTACAATACTCGCAAACGATTACACACCCCTTCTATTCAAAACAACGGATTTTTTGCGGCCAGTCCCAAAAGCCTTTTAAATGTAGGGTGCTTCTGAAATATTACGTTGACCACAAAAACAGCTACGCCTACGGTAAAAATACGGGCATCATCACGGGCATGCCTGCAGACGACGTATAGAATTACATGCCGATTAAACAAAGGAAACCGTGAGTTTTACCTGCGAACGCAAAAACCAACTGACCACAATACTCCTGCAGGAGGGATAACTCCTTCACGGGGTAACAACAGCTAACGTTATCAATAAAAGATTAAAGACGTGAATCACGTACAGGTTTAGCTTTATGCTTTTCCGGAATACTGACCCATTGCCCGTTTTCGTCTCTCTCTCATCTGACTTTTCCTGTTGTGTATTCCCGACCCTACAGTGTTGTTTATTGCGCGGAGCCGGTACTGGATGTGAAGGCCAGGTCTCCCCCCGTCCTGGGCGGCATGTTGTCTGTGCAGGCGGTGAGGAACCACCTGCGGACGGTGGTGGCCGTGGCGCTGTACGTCGTGCTGAACGTGGCCCTGCTCTGTGACGCCGCCGTCCGGTATAACAACAACGTCGCCATGGCCGTGGCTAAAGGCTGTGGTGCGTACTCTACTACATTCTGCTGATCAAATTAATGGGCCTTTTTTTTAAAAACATACCTTTCTTTGTACACTTTTGCAGTTATTTTACTAACGCTCAAAGCCATGTGGCAAGAGTCAGTCAGTCAGCCACTCACTCACTCACTCACTCACTCACCTCTTCACTCACTCACTCTCTCTCACTCACTCACTCACTCACTCACTCACTCACTCACTCACTCACTCACTCACTCATTCATCCTCGCATGACTTAAAACAAAAATATGGCATATTATGCTACAGTTATGTATAGGCTCTTGCAACCCCCAGTACACATGCTGTGTTAGTATCTATGTATAAACTATGTGCTGTTCGTGCTTTCCCTCTCCAGGACAATGTCTGAACCTGAACAGCATGTTCGCCCTGCTGCTCATGCTGAGGAAGATGCTGTCCTACGTGCGGTCCACGACCCTCGGCCGGTACCTGCCGCTGGACCAGAACATCGCCTTCCACAAGGTCATCGGGGTCATGATCCTGATCTTCAGCGTGGTCCACACCGTAGCGCATGTTTACAACTTTGGTAAGTGTTACAAAACACGTCGTTAGAACGTGCTGCGACTCAGTGAATCCTGAAACCAGAACTGAGATGTTGAAAAAAATGCTTGTTTCCACCAACTAGGGTCATTCTCGAGTTAAGTGTAATTTGCTTATTTTTTTACGGCTCTCGGTGGCAAATGTACTGATCTTGGCACATTGGCACACCAAATCCGTCGTGTGTTTTTGGCACAGATTAGCATAAGAGGCTCGGTGGGCGTCACTCCACCGTACAGGGAGGGAAGTCGAGTAAAGTGCCTTTCCTTATGGCACCACGTCGGGGCATTGGTCCCGAGTCCAACGCCCTAACCGTTGCGCCGCCGACGCCACACGTAAATGCTTATGAAGCTCTGCATCTGTAATAATTATGAATGAAAAAATGAACTTGTACATCCAGATGATACCATGGCTTTGTTGGTATCACCAATGCTACCTTGTTTCTCAATGTTCTCCCATTCCCTAACCTCCAGTGAAGTTGACAGAGGTGACTTCACATACGTTGCTGGAGTATCTGGTGGGAACACATCTCGGGATCGGCTGGATGGCCGGCAGTGCTAGCGTGACCGGCTGGGTCTTACTGGCCCTCCTGTTGGTCATCACGCTGTCCAGTACCAGCTATGTCCGCAACAGTGGTCACTTTCAGGTCAGTGTCATACTCATGACAGATCTATGTATCTATGTATCTATGATACATCAATGAAGGTTAGACATTCAGGTAATCAGGTGCACAAGAAAGTGTTACTCAAGCAACTGGAGGTTTGAAAACTGTCACAAACTGTCGTTTCAAGTAGCATTTAAGTTATACTGTCAACACTGGCCATCATACGCGAGAAATTGTGCCTCAAGTTTGCTGGATGCCGTATAGTCTCTGAACCGATAGACGTTTATGACACATTTGCCCATTTTCGGCATTTTGACCACCGTCAGAGGGCAACACGAGTTCTAACGTAGTGATTTGGTCCATGTAAGGCGTGAATATGCCCGCCATCAAGTTCATTGTCATTGCCATTATATCTCCAACCCAGGCCTTCTACTGGATCCACCAGCTGACCCTGCCGTGGTTCCTGCTGCTGGTGATCCACGCCAGGTTTTTCGGCCTGTGGCTGCTGCTGCCGGGACTGTTCTACGTCATCGAGAGAGTTCTACGCACCAAGATGGCGCGGGTGACGCGATACGGACACATGTCCATCCAGCAGGGGATTGTCCTACCATCTAAGGTAGTGTGCTCTCGAAGATAGTGCTAGCTTGGGTTGTGGAATGGAAAAGGAAAAACAAGTTATGACAACAAACTACATGTGCATTCAGAACAACATGTAACATGTTCCCCATTGCTGATACAGTCAAACATGTGATCACCTCTAAATAATGTCCACCTGGCCAATGTGACTACTTTTTGGTCGTCCCTGACATACTTTTCCCATTGACACAATCATCAAGGATTCTGTCTATAGCGTCCACATAGGCTAGGTTTCATGAGTGGCAGGTTTGATTGTACACAAACAACATGTAACGTCAATAACACACACCTCAGAGACAGGCAGTCTAGAAGCTATGACTGGTACTGAAAGTGTCACATATACGTGAGGACACTTCCACCCCAAACAAAAACGACGTCTTTTAGGCAGTCCTTAGATTTTACCAATACAATAGATCAGTACTCGATGGCTTGGATACTGTGTCACGTATGGTATGCTTACTTCCTTCAGGTGGTCCACGTGGTTGTGTCCCGGCCCGTGAACTTCAGGTTCCAGCCGGGTGATTACGTGTACCTGTGCGTGCCCGCCATAGCCACACATGAGTGGCACCCCTTCACCATCAGCAGCGCTCCGGAGCAGGAAGGTAAAGTACACTGTATCCTCATTTTACCATTCCAAGCACGGGAAGACTATGATGAGTCGTTCTATCTAAAAACACCCAAGAGGTTTAGTGTAAAGAGGAAAAGGGATAGAATCATCTCGATTTTTTACCCTTAGGGTTTTTTCTACTAGTAACCAAATGTAAGGATACGTACGGCTATTATTTGATATATATCTGGATGCGGTTCTTACACCTGTTATCATTGAAGCTGATTCACTCATTAATATTAACTTATCACATATTGTTATCGTTGTGCAGGGACGCTATGGTTCCACATACGGGCAGTCGGAACATGGACCAACCGGCTGTACCGCCTGTTCGAACACCACACGGAGAGACTGCGCTCTAACACGCCTCAACAGCGCATCGACTCCGTGGAGTCTATCATGAACTCCGTATCCACGGGAGGAAGCACTGTCCTCCCGGAGATCCAGCGGAGCTCCTCTACTCACTTAACTACGTCCAGCAGTAGCACGGCTCCGAGTAGCGAGGTAGAGTCGTCACACGAGTACAAGAACATCTCCACCCTGGCTCCGACAAAGCCGCGCCAAAACAAAGTGTCCAGAGACAGCGGGGTGTACCTCTGTGAGATCGATGGGTCCAGGAAAGGGTCGGAGACGAACGGAGTGGTGCCTCCGATGGAGAGAAACGACTCCCGCATGTCGTGTTCTTCGATAGGTCAGGACTTTTCTCACATGTTTAGACCTCCCACGGTGGTGAACTTGGCCGATGGGATGTGCCACGCCAGTGGGTTTGAGGTAAGCCAGCTGCCCGGAAGCAAATTTCTTCTCTTTTAGATTTCTCTTTCATCCTTCACACAGTGCCTTCACCATGCACACAGTGCCTTCTTAATAATGGCTTGAATTGAGTTCAAAGACTCACTCTGTCGTTTGCAGAAGTTAATCCGTTCTAACCGTTTGTCCTTGTGAAAGGCCTGGTGGACATCTGGCCTGGACAGATCTAGACTGGGCGCTCTGAAAGAGGAGGTCACAAAACATTTGCACTCTTGACTATTCTTTCCTCTTTCTTACACGAATATAAAAAGTAACTCTATAGCAACGAACAATGACGATTCTTAGGCAAGACATGTTTCTATAATGCCCAAGCATAGTTTGGGGTAGAAAATCGACACGTTTTCTAACCAATCTGTCACCTGCAGGTGTACATGGACGGTCCGTACGGCGCCCCGTCTACCCGTATCTTTGACTCGGAGCACGCCGTGCTGGTGGCCGCCGGGATAGGAGTCACTCCCTTCGCCTCCATCCTGCAGAGCATCGTCCAGCGGTTCCGCCGGGCGCGGCAGACATGTCCGCGGTGTAAACACGCCTGGACTGCCGAGACAACTAGGAACTTCCTCACCCTGAAGAAGGTAGATATAACGGGACGCCCATATGGCATTTAGCTATCACCTACTTGAACGCATATATCCGACAGTGGCGGAAAAAGAAATGCTTCTCTACATAGTCCTATTGAGGCAAAGCCCTCTTCACACAACACAAATTTTATGCCCTCAATCCATGGTTGAAATCCTTTTAAAGTCGTTGTTGTTATTTTCCTGTCTGTTGGATAACAAACAGAGGGCAAGTACAACATGTTTCCGTTGTACGTAGTTTTCAGCACCAAGGACAGATCCCCTTTATCTACGTGCCAGCCTCTGTTCCTTATTAACCCCCCTCTCTCTGCCTCCCCCCTCTCTGTGTGCCACATCATATGTGGCATTCGAGTTTTCCTTACACAAGAGTTAGAGTCAATTTGGGGCCTCCTAGGGACTTCACTTGTTTTTCTGTCATTCAATTTCCAGTCACAGTAGACCGGACTTGAAGTAATCTTCTGTCTCGGGTTCCCTCTACAGGTGGACTTCTTCTGGATCAACCGTGACCACAAGTCGTTCGAGTGGTTCATCAGCCTGCTGAGTCAGCTGGAGATAGAACAGTCCGAGATGGGCAACTTCGACAGGAACTTCCTGGAGATGCACATGTAACTTTTTTTTTGCTATTTACATAGTAGAATGGATTCATTCCTCAAACTACGTAACCGACATCTCTACGTAACCGACACGCAGTTGTCCCTCAGTAAGACATCTGGAGCCGCATAGTTCCCGTTTAGAACTTTTATTCAGCCTGTCACACAATGCGGCTCCAGAAGTCTTACCATGGGACGACTGCGTGTACGAGATGTCGGTTAGTTTTTGGCTACTTATCCCCATATTTTTCAGTACAAAAAATTTCAGCATCCTTCTTATTGTTAAAAAAAGTTTTTGTACTCATTCAGGACCTTATCATTGTCACATTGTGCTTCGTTTCCTTGTGAAAGATTCTGAAATGGTAATGATTATCTATTTTGTAGGTACATGACTTCTATGTACGGTCGGACCGACTCCAAGGCTATCCGGCTGAGGATGGCGATGTACCTGACACACAAGAAGGAGAAACGGGACCTCATCACCGGGCTGAAGACACGAACACAGGCCGGGAGGCCGGACTGGGACAAGGTATGCCACATGCAGATTAGGCCTAGGAAAAAATGTTGTGTTTCCTGTATCAGTCCTGAAAAAAATAGGGTCGGTAGGTAACGATAGGGATTATCTTTTTCTTCCTTTTTATTATATATATTGTATCAGACTCTGGCGATCCCTAGTGATTCAACTTATACAATACAGTTGAAGAAAGTAAAACTTGCACGAGGACACTTATAGTTGCAAATTGTCTGTGTTGGAAAATCGATTGTACAATGTTTCATCACTCAGGTGTCAGATCATGGAGCTAGAAATTTATGCACAGGTCATTATTGCATGACTACTCCAACGTATCGAAAAGTTCAAATACACCTGCAGGATTTTTTTCATAGTTTTCATCAAATGATCTTATTATAAATTACCAGGTTTTCCGACGACTGGACGCAGAGAAGTGTGGAAAAGTGACTGTGTTCTTCTGCGGGTCTGCCCAGCTGGGGAAAGTGCTCCAGAAAAAGTGCATGGAACACGGCTTCCAGTTCTGCCAGGAAAGTTTCTCCTGAACAAAGACGAAGATGAAGAAGGTCTGGTTCCACTCCTTGCGAAGCTGGCCGTTGTACACCACATGAGTTATTGAGAACATACAGTTCTCTGGTGACTTTCAAACGCCTGAAGATGCCCTTCCTTACGATCGTCAAAATAAACAAGAGATGAAGGAAGACCAGTATATACCATGTATACAATAGGCGGTTGGGAATGATTGAATATTTTTGTATGGATCAATACAGTAGTACAACTATGGTGGTATGGCCTCAGAGTGTAGTTTCTATGTACAATAGGAATTCGAAGATCTCATAACCCCATGAAATATTTAGCTTTTGTAAATGTTTGTAAATGCGTTGATTACTAGTATGTAAATGAGATCCTTATTTGCATAATTGGTATCTGTTAATGTTATACAGATTATATACGTTACATTATCAAACCCTATTGTGTATAGCAAAAATGCAATAGAATTACAGAATTTCCTCATTAATCATGCAAATTAAGTCCAAAAAAATCTAACTGTGTAGATATCTAAACTACCTACAAGCAAGAAAATTGTGTAAAAACACGTTGTTCCTTTCTGGACTTGAGCAGTTTGTGAAAAGTACTAAGTAATATTCTTAATCGAGGGTTTCAGTTTAGGTATAAAGTGTATAGTTTTAAATTGTCTATGGCAGAGACATTTCTGACCTTACTAAATTAATAAATAAATGGTTCTATGAGAATCCATGTAGTGCATAATTTTATTCTTCCCACGGCCAATCCATGCTGTTGTTTTTTTCATTATATATGGTATCTAGGAAATAAGTATACTATAATTTCGCTGGAACAGCCCACTGCACTCTTCAGTTGGACATTTCCCAAAACAAGTCAAGACAATGCCCTTCGCGGACGGTGTTTAGTTTTGGTAACTACATGTACTTGCAATGATTGCAATCTGTGGAACTGCCGCCAGAGGACGCCTATATACATAAAACTAAACTGGCGGTAAGGAGCAAAGTAAAACTGTGGTCAAATGCACAGTAATGGTGACACTGCACTGCTTCTTGTACATCGCAAATCCATATGTTACCTGCGTTTAATACATTAGTACACACAATTTCTTTTACAACAGGGGTTCTAATTATGCAAATAAGACACGCATTTGCGTGAATTACAAGTAATATTATAAAAAGTTGATCATACCGGTATTCTCAGTCAGTCTATTATAGCATTTTCTCATAAATTATGTAAATGAGGTGAACAGTTACGTTTTAATGATGTTCACCTTCACTTAAAGTTAACTTCCAAATGCCGCAATATCGGCAGTTAGCACTATAGAATCATAGCATTTTCTCATTAATTATGCAATCCAGGTCTTCATTTACATAATTAATGAAAAACTATTAATATCTACGACGATCCGTCAACCAGTTCTTGAGTTATACTCCCTCGAAGTTGGTAAACAAACGCCCCTGTAGTTCCAGTAGAAACTGCTAGGGGCCACACTTACACCACTAACTCCCGGAGCTCAATCGTCAGAAAACTTTACGATCCTCGACCCTAACATCTGCTTGGAGATTGGTAATTAACAAAGCCAACACATGAAATCACGTGAGGAATTAGACGGAGCCATTCTTGATTATTGGGGTTTGATTGCATTGAATATTAGAAAGGGAAATAGTAATGATACATATTGGTGCAAATGTCACTATTTATATAATATTCTGTTTTTGATAAATTTTGATAAGACATTTTCGTAATTCTATCACATTTCTGAGATGCACAGGCGAAATTCAAATGTTACCTATGGAATAATATGGTATCGCCTAGATCTCGTTCCCGTCACCGTTTGACAACACTATCTTGATAAATCGGTTCATTACGACGTATATAAAGCACAAATGTACATTCATCCAGCAAAAACAATGTTAATGGTGATACGTTATCACAGAGAAATGCGCTAATGCCATTGACAGAATGTACTTATCGTATAGATTACATACATAACTCTGGTCCCAAGAGGGCCAATAGTTCAATGACCTCCTGGTGCTAACTAACCTAAACTCAAACCAAAATGGCCGCCGTCTAATTTATAGTTTCGTGGGACTTTCTGTCGAGCTTGTGCTCAATCATCGCCGATATCTCAGTGCGAAGGGATTTTGGACCACATCAGGACGCCGTGTGAGTAAGCGTGATCAACGACATGCATGTGGGATATGCAGTTCGCAATCCGTCCAGTGATTTTTGGTGACTGCGCTTTCGGCCGGATTTCCTCGGGTGGCAAAACTATAACCTCTCCCGCTGCAACTTGAGCTGGGGCCGAGCTCTCTTCGCGGGGCTTCCCTCTAGATCTGCCGCGCGTCGCTGCGTTATCTGGGCGTGTAGAGTGATCGGAGATGCGACTGGCCCTGAGTCTTTCACCTACTGGACAAGGTACAGAACTGAAGTTTGCCTACTCTGTGGTAAGATCAACGCGAGTTCTACTACGTACACGGACTACTGCGTACAGTGTCACACAGTCATGAGAAAAACAGTGTGCCCGTACGAAAACACTTGTTGCTCGTAGACCATCGTAAGAAATTCTAGCACAGGAGCGGCGAATCTGGGCCACTCGCAGTCAGACGTGGGAGTGTTCGCGTTGAATTCACGATCTGCCGTTGCAGAGGTTTTCTCGTGAGAGAGAGGTAGAGAGATCTCGAGCTAGCTGTTGTTGTTGCTGCTCCCCCACCGCCCATGCTGGTAGCCGCAGGTTTCCCGGAGCTAAGCCTGAGTTCTGCACACATGTTGTGGTTCAGGCTCGCCGTGCTTCTACATGTGGTGTGGCAGCTGACCAGTGCCGAGGGGAGCAGGCGCCAGGGACGGAGGGACAGGACAAGCAACTATCAGCAGGAGGAACCCTGCAAGTACACCAACCAGGTATTAAACAAGTTACAAGTCTTTGTCTTTAAGAGCAACCATCAACTTGCTGATGATTCTGCTACACTGTACTATAGAATTGGGCTGTAGAATTTGGACCATCGCACACCCGTGCATGCCCCTGCCTACTCTTTTTCGAAAGGTGTGGTGGGTTCTTTAACGTGAGTGGGGTGTGGCTCTTCATTTTACGTCCTATGAGGGACGTCCCTAACCGAAGCTAGGTAACAGTTACTGGTACTCATTTTCACCTTAGCGAAGTGAGGAAAGTTGTGTAAAGTGCCTTTCCCAAGAGCATAACGTCGAGGCATGTTGGTAGAATCGAACCCAGGACCTATGGGATCTGGGCCAAACACCCTACCATTATGCCCCACAACTTTCACAACACTCTCCATATACTCGAACCTGTGTTTATTGATTAGAACTGTTGTATTTAAGACCACTCAAATTATATACACATTCTCAGCTTTCAGGCTTGTCCTTTAGTAGAGATGGCATACTAGTATACGTATGAATTTATACCATCAACTTGCCAAAATAATTTGTTCCTGTGACATTTTCTTCACAGTTGTCTATCTCATATTCTAATAATTTTCTGTGTGTCATTTCTAGGAGGAACTGAACTCATTCCTATGGACCATCCAGCGGAATCCCCCGTCGTATTTCTTCGGGACGATCCACGTCCCGTACACACGGGTCTGGGACTTCATTCCCTCCAACTCCAAGCAGGCCTTTCATCAGAGTAACCATGTGTTTGTTGAACTGGACCTGACGGATCCCTACACTGTCTCAGCCTTGAGTAGCTGTCAGATGCTTCCTGAAGGAAAAAGTCTGGGCGACGTCCTCCCAGAGGATATCTACAGGCGTCTTAAACAGCACTTGAAGGTTTGTTTACTCCTCCAGGGCCTTAAATAGCGTCTTAAGTCATTGACAGATTTCGGAGCGGGAGACAGTTGCAATTTAGATGAACAGCTCCAAATGGCGGTAAAGTCATGGACACAAATTGTATAGTTTTACCAAGTATTTAACCTGTTTGGTTTTACTCATAGATTATACAGGTGTGAAATAATGCCTGAATTTCAGCTTATTTAGATGTTTTTGGAAAGTCTGAGTGCTGAACAAAGCACACAGCATTCCAGAATCAAACTTTCTGGGCGTGAAAACAAATAACATGTTTCTATAGCCAGTAGGACAGATCTACGTTTCTCCCACCATCTGGTCCCAAACATACCGGTAGCTAGCCTCCACAACAAAGCTAGCCTGGCGCGCTGGTATTTCCTTCTACAGAAGGCCGGGGTCTAGCTTCCTGTATGCAGAAAAGAATTCAAAGCCCTCACTTCTTGTACCACATTCATATCCCATGACTTTCCATCAGATGTGAAGGCAAAAGTCTTGTCTGAACACTAAAGTAAATGTTGAAATGGTCACGGTGGTTTTGTTTTCACAGTTTTCACAGTGCTTCTCCACTGTGAAGTCGTGACAGGGCAAATATGTGTTTTTGTGCTAGAGTGTTGCTTCGATTGCAAGCTTAAAACACCGCGAAACACTCCTTTCCGCCCCGACTGCGAAATTTACTTCCCGTAAAGATAAATGGATTTACAAGATGAAATCTGTTCATGGTTTTGTGCTCACGTGGCTGGAGAAAAGACACACCTGTTCAAATTCTTAATCATAGGCTTACCCCTCATCACTTTTTTTCCTGATTAAAGAAAAAAAAAGTTAAACACATTTTCCATTCGGATTATCAGTCAACCCTTGCATTCCTTGAGGTTTCCCATTTCTTCATGCAATAAAAGTTCAGAATTCATGATTGTAATTTGTATTACTATGTGAGAATATTGACCAGCCTGGTATGTTGACTTTGTGGCTCCTGTGGTAGCATTTTGGTCAGCACAGGATGACTATTTACCTTTTCTGTTTGAATTCCTCCCACTTGTTCCACTAAATTCCTGCCAAATTCCTTGATCCAAGAAATTAGATGTTGTGGTCCAACTTCTACAGAACTTGCCATTCGGAAATAAAGTACATTTCTATATCTGTATAGCCGGTACTCTAACTTATTATCTAAGTATAAGTTACTATAACTGCCCTTTGGCATAACCCTCCAGCTTCGCAGGCACATGGCAATGGAAGTAGCTAGCAATATTATGCCGAAGTGACCTGTTAAACCTCTGTACATTCTAAACACAAGCAAATTTGATTTAAAGCTACATTTGTATCTATGATAATCTAGTGATGATGCCCTAATTGTACTTGGTGGTAGAAAGTTTCACTCTATGACAGCTCTAGGAAAAGTTTTTGAACACCTCAATCCTTACGTAGTTGATAACTCAGGTATTTTTAATGCACATGGCTATTTCTTGTTGGTTTTTCATACTTGGATGAGTGACAGGTCCATTCTAGCATACCTCTGCTCCCTGGTTCCTGGGTTTTACATTTTCTCATGTTTCTCCCCTCCCTGAACCCTTTACCATCAGGGAGGATCTCACTAGACCTGTGGGAGGACAGACTATCCAGGATAAATAAAGACCTCAGGTTTTGGAAGTCAAAGGTGTCACGCTTTAGAAGTGGACAGAATGCAGCTGGGGATAGCATGAGATCTGTATATTGGCTGGGTTGTTGAAGTTACTCGAAGTCTAACACTGTTTTTCGGGGATCAGAAAACACCTGCAAGTTGCAGTTTTCAAAGAAAATCTTTTAGATTGCAGGTAAAAAGAAAGTAGACAACTCACAGTATCACAGTGTAGGAAATTCCAGGATCAACTTATGTCTACGGTTTAGCTAATCAACTCATGAAGCTTTTGTTGTTTCTTGTTTATTTCATAGGATGTTGATAGTTTAAGTTTGGTGTTGCCCCCCAGGCGCATTGAATAGTGCCAATAGAGCGATATATTCCCCCTGGCGAAATAAGATAAGCAAACAAACAAACAAATAGTGAACAAACTAAAGCTTGTGTTGTACGTGTGTTAATTATAGAAATAATAACATGAGGAATAACAACATTTTTTTTACAAATTGCAGGGAAATTTTTAAACAACTAACAATATTGCAGGTCCAGACAAAAAGTATTTCTAGCCCTATTTTTTGGGGGGTACAATACATCAGAAACACTTCTGCATTTTTCATTTATCACCAGGGTTGCTGAATAAAGATAAGACCAGGTCAACGAGCACCAAGATTATCACCACGAGTCAGGCAGCTAAAGCTTTTAATCCGTCTTAAGAGAGGCAGCGTAAGAAGAAAAGGCAGACTGCGTTGTTGATGTTGTGTCTCTGAAGCTCCTTGTGTGCTCCTGGCAGTTCCTTGTGCCAGGTTTACTGGAGTATTGATTTTTACATACCAGGCATATTTGCACCACAAACCTTCACTTAAAGTTCAAAAGATTATCAATGTTTAAATAACACGCTGGAGGGCATCATTGCTGCCCCCCACTGTGACTATTAATTATTAACTCTATACACAAGTCAACTGTCTGAATCTGATAGTTATCATTCCCACCAGACTGGGCTGTAGAAAGTGCTCATCTTGGGAGGTGGAAACCAAAGTAGTGGGCCCTGAAGGAATTTTGGAATTTTTAGCAGTCTGGAATTGTATGTCCTGTATTTTGAGAGGAAAATTTCAAGGAAAAACTTTGTAAATCATCGTCTGTCAATCCAACTAAGTGAGATTTTTGCTAACTATAGAAATACACACAGTACACACATACAGCATTTTTTAAAAACTACTAAATGTTGCTTGTAATTTTTTGTAGGTGATGTTGACATTCTGACAAAAATATTAGACTTCCCTATAGTAGACATGAAACTTTGAAGATGTCTGTCACAAAAAAAGACATCCAAAATATGACAAAATTAATTAGTAAAATTCTGTTCATTCTCAGAAAGTAATCACTGTTAACATTATCAGAGGACTTCACAGTCATACAATCATCACAGTTGTTAATATTTCTTTATGAGCATTCAGATTTAAACTCTGCTTGCTTGCTTATAATATGGTTGTATAATGATGGGTGACTCTACTTGCTTATAATGATGATGTGAATCGTCCCAGTGTTTGGGAGTTACACACTTTACCAAGCATGTCAGCAGAACGTATAGCACCTGCGCGAAACCCGTAATGTATTGTGCAAAGCACTCCTGTATAATGATATAAGCTCGTATTAGCGCATATAAGGTTAACATTCCGTCTGTAGTTTCCAAATGTTATGATGGAAAAGACATCCTCTGCAACAGGCAAAATTCTGATGCAACGTTTACCAAAAATCCAACCAAAAGTGTGAAAAATCTTGGTTTTGCGCAGGCCCGGTTCGTTCTGTCGACATGCTAGTTTACCAACACTTAGTGGTTATGGTTGTGAAACAAAGATAATGTTTGTGGACACAGGAAGGAGAATTTGAAGCCAGCCATGACTCCTAAAGACCAGCTGGCCAGAGTTTGAAAACTCCAAGTGTTTGTTGTATAAATGTTGGTTCTAAGGCTGTGTGAAAACCCCTTTCTGTTGATGCCCACATGTTGTTAACTTTGGACGACCATCAAAGAAGAGAAAGACTGTGATCACAGAGTTGTTTTTCTTGTGGAAGTTGAGTTCACTTGTAAGCAAGCAGAAAAAGCTATTTCCTCTAGACCTTCTGACTGCTTGTTTTCACTACATATACGTTTAGAAAGGACTCTATTATCATGTGTTATTTCATCAACATGGGTCAGTTTATTAACAATATTCAGCCAAAGAAGGCGAGGAAAGTCTTTTGCCCCCTAGTATCTTATCGTAATAGTAATACATGTATTAGTACAGTATTACAGATATTAAAACAGGGTATTCTCAAAAGCCATAAATAAGTACTAGTACCTGGTACTTTTTCCATGATTGACCCACAAAAAAACCCATTACCCTCTATTAAAACGATTCCTTTTTTAAAAATCCAAGAATGTATGTGTTGTAGAAGATAGGTATAAATCTTGATTGCAAGTTGAACAATGGATTGCTGATTGACATAGCACTTCGGCAGAAGGTCTCATATACATGTAAGGTCACATGCACGCATATAAATAATGATAATATCCTGTCTGTAGTTTCCAAATGTTGTGTTGGGAAAGATATCGTCTTCAACTGGCAAAATTCTGATGCAACGTTGACCAAACAGCCAACGAAAACCGTGAAAAATGGGGGATTTGCGCAGGCGCAGTACGTTCTGCCAACGTGCTCTACCATACTAATGTATGATCTCTTGTCCTGTACAGTATGTAAAAAACATGATGCCCCTGTGGGTGACAGCTGACCAGCGGGGGAGAGGTCTGTACGCCGACTATCTCTTCAACGCCATCACCGGCAACTGGGAGCGCAAACGGCCCGTGTGGGTCATGCTGATGGTGAACTCGCTAACGGAGGTGGACGTGCGGACTCGCGGGATTCCCGTGCTGGACCTGTTCCTGGCACAGGAGGCGGCGCGGCTGAACAAGCGAACAGGTGCCGTGGAGAAGGTGGAGGAACAGTGTATGCCGCTCAACGGGCTCAACATCTCACAGGTCTGGAGTTATTACACCATAAAACAGTTACTCAAGCCACTGGATATGATTTTGGAAACGGTCAGACGTTTCAGGTAGCATCCACTACCTTTCGTCAGTGGCACTAAGAGACTGCAGGAGAAATGCAGGTTTATAAGCATGAACTATTGATTGATTTGCAAATATCTGTCTAAAATGTCTGACTGTAACTTTCCAAAATCATATCCAGGTGCTTGAGTAACTGTTTTTCAATCTAATTACCTGGATGTCTAACCTTCATCAATGTGTCTTAAGGAGTTATTCTTTTGTTTGTTCCCTTTGACAGAAGGGTATGTTGTCAGTTTGCCTTTGGTGGAGTGACTACAGATGTAATCATGGTTACTGGTTATGTTTCTCAGGTTTTATTTGCGCTGAACCAAACGTTGTGGCAGCAGGAGAATATCCGCAGCGGTCAGCTTCCCATGTCCTTCTCTACAGACGACCTGATCCACCACTACAACTGTGGAGACCTCAACACTATCATATTTGACCACCACACTGCACAGGTAAGGTAAAGATAGCCTGGGTACCAGCCTGTTGCCAGGGCCATTATACAGGCTAGCTCCTGCTTCAGGCTAACATGTCTCCAAGGAAATTTTACAAATTTGACCCTGGGAGCCAACTCTGGGATGGGGCTAATGGCTTCCCTGGCCAAAGGGAGTATTGTGTTGGGCTGGGGTCTGGTATCCAGGCTACGTGAAAAATTAATATGCAGGGAGAACCTGCAGCCTTAACTCCCATTTTGTATTTTACAACTGGTGTAACAACCTTTCGATATAACATAGAGCTTTGCAGGCTTATGATGTGGCAGCAGCTGATTTTCACTCGAGTCGAGTGAGGAGAATACAGGTGTAAAGTCCTTTCCCAAGGACACAACAGGGATTCGAACCCAGAACCTTCAAACTCTGAGTCAACTACACTAACCACTAATTGCCACCATAAGGTGTACCCTTTCCAGTTTATCTTTGAGTCACCAGCCTGATGAAACTGCTCACAGACCAATTGCTGACATCACATATCAGAAAAGTCTCATGTGAATAAGGTCACGTGTCTGTAACCCCGTAACTTTTGCGAGATTACATTAGGAAGTGATTAGTCATTCATTATCCTGATGCAGGTGACAGTGGTCGTTGAAAATATGATTTTTGTGAAACCTTGTGTTGGAATAAAGTTTAACATTTTACTAAGGTCCTTCCGTGTTTATTTCAGGTGCCCAACCTGTTGAACACCTCCCTGTCCCCTCCTGACTTGGAACAGGCCCAGCAGATAGACGAGTACTTCAGAACGGAGCTCATCCTCCTCAGGAACCAGAGAATGGCAGGCCGGGTCTCCAAGTTACTCCAGGACCATCCAAACGACAGCTTCTTCTTTGCCTTCGGTGCAGGTACGTACAGTGTTCCTCTGTTCAAAATGTGAAGCAAAAATGACCACATCCCATAGTTTAGCGATTCAAAGTTGTGTTTAAAGTTAGTTTAGTCAATTTGTAAGAAATTTGCAAATTGTTATTCCTGTTTTTTTTGTTGCTTCTGTGTACACTCAAACAACATCAGCCTTTTTCTTTTTTGTCAGTAGTCTACGTACTTTTAAGTATTAAAATATTTTAGATGTCCATAATGAAGATTCTTCAATGAAGAGAAAGACTTAATGTTGAATTACTTAATGTTGCTGTTTTTTTTCCAGGACACTTCATAGGAAACAACACTGTGATAGACCTGCTCAGAAGAAACGGGTTGGACATAGCTTATGTGCCGTCTAACGTTACACTCAACACGTAAGGTTTTCTCTGTTCTTGTTCCTTCCTTGCCTTTACATTCCTTAAATACCCTTTCCACTAGACGCTCCAACTGTTGAGCAAACAAAACATTTGACAACTCGCTTAACGACTTCCATAGATTTTATTTGTTGCATGTCTAGTTTTTTTTCATCATACTCTTGCATCTTGCATTATGTTCCAACTACATGTATGAAATTAACAAGTCACACAAATCTAATTTTGGTTGCAGTATGGTTGCTCCGCGGTCACCATCTAATGAAAAAGGGACTTGACCTACGTAAATCATAAAAATATTGTTTTCTTTCTTCAACTTTGGTCCATCACAGGTTCCTTCACAAGATTTTTTTTTCACCCAACCAAGAATGTAGAATAGTGTGGGCTAGGTTCAGAATTACTTTGGTATTCCACGTAGCAGTTCTGTTATTCAGATGCATGTAGTGTCAGGAAGCAGCCTGACAGTTACAGATCACCCTGGCTTCCAAGAAGTAGACTTGTGTGGAAGGAAAATATGAGTCACGGGGATTTATTTATCATTTCAACCCGTCAGGAAAGTCTGAATAAAGAGACGGAAGGGCCTGACATATATGTACAAGCAGATGCCAAAGCTTTGGTACAGACTAGTCTTCTAGCTACCTTCCGTCTTTCCGTCAAATTGCTACTCGTGACGAGATGTCATTTAAGTGAAACTAACCTTAGTCTACTAGCAAAATTTGCCTCTCAAAATGCAGGAAATAGCATTTCAGAGGGTCAAGATTAAAAATTGTCCCTGGAGAGCATGGATTGTTGCCGGACTCCAGCACTCGATATGATGTTCCATGTAGGTCAAACAAAATTGAGTTGACTGGAAAAAAATTCAGGTTGGCTAGAAAATTGTTACAGAATATACCGTCTAGTTTCATCCGCAACCTTCTTTGGAAAATGGAAACACTCTTCACACATTGCATAGATTCTTAGATTTATGTCCTATTACAGTTTTACTAGATAACTAATGAATACCATCTTAGGTTTTTAGCAGATAGTGTTAAACCTTTATTATTTCTCATTAAATTTTACAGACAGGAAGCATAAAAATTCTGAGATTTTTCACACGGATACATTATGGGGGAGAAGTCGAGTTTAGTTTGGACGTGTCTGAATTTCCTTGGAAGACATGTAAAGACAACACCTGATATCTGGGACGTCATTACAATTAGGAGAACTACTTTTCACTTTTGTAGCTTTGAACTGGTATTCACCTCAGGGAACTATGAAAGATGAGTTTGCTTGATGAAACCAGTAATGAATACTTTACTGTTAATAGAATTTGTATGAAGAGTATGAAGAGTGTTAGTAGTTTTTTTTGTGTGTGCTTGGGGCCCTCAGACAGTACATGTAGGTTAAGCCCCTGTCACATATTTAGGCATTTGGCCTTCTGAACACTAGGAAAACACTAAATCTGGCCTAAATCTGGTCAGACTGCTCCCAAGCTTCAGCCAACCTTTGCCTGCTGGTGTTCAGGGAAAGGTTCTGAATGTGTGACAGGGGCTGTAGGAGACAGGAAGCTCCATGGAGAATGTGAGGAGTGTGAATTACTGTTTGCTTACTCAGTCCTGTGCCTGTCAGGAGAAGGGCAGGAGAACCCGGGAACTGTCAACATGGACAGCCTGCAGGTGGTTTGTCAGACAGGGTTAGACCAGGGATCTAGCCAGGACAGTTTTTCCATCAATTACCGGAACTTTGCGGCAATTGATGGAAATTCTTCACAGTCAACCTTGATAGACAAAATTAACAAAAATGTTGGGGTTAAAAATATGAAAACAAGGACCAAAAGACCACCGACTACCACTCTCAACACCATGATTTGCCTCTCAAAATGCGTGAAGAAGGCAGAAAAAACAAGATGCCTAGATTTGAAATATACTAAGAGATGACAAATGTTAGGACACAAATTGAGCACAGTGTAACAACCAAGGACTCTTTAATTCTTCATTGAAGAAAACTTTGATGAAAAGTTGTCATCCTGTTTCTTTCCTTTCATCACATCTTCCAGTCTTGCGGTTTGCAGCACTGTTATGACTCTTTGGTCATAGTTATAGGAAGTGGAATTTCTCGTGTTTTTTCTGGGAACAGGCCAAAATCAATGTGTCATCCATAGAAATTACTTGGTGTGGCCCTACTAGTATTTCCTGGCTGTCTGCCACGCCAAACAAGCTGTCATATAATGTCCTGAAAGAAGCGAACAGACAGGTTTTACATCTCTGAACTATTACAGACTGTGATAAAGTGAGAAGCCTTCAAGAGCTCTTGGACACGTTTCAAATTCTTCAGAATTTAGTCAGAAATTCTTGAAGAAAGCGGAGACAGTTCAAGTAGGCTTGTCTCAAATATTTGTAGAAATTTTCAGACATCTAGCTCCTACATTAGTGCATGCCAAATACAATGTATGTAGGAGTTGTAGGGAATTATCACAAGTCAGTAATATCATAGATCTCATAAAAATGTCCTTAGAACCTGAGTGATGTCACAACCCATACATGCATTTGACTTGCACATCGGCACTGCGCCTGTGCGAAACCATGATTTTTCACAGTTTTCGCTGGATTTTTGGTCACCGTTGCATTAGGATTTTGCCTGTTGCAGAGGATATCTTTTCCGACATAACATTTGGAAACTATAGACGGAGTGTTAACCTTATGTATTCAAATACGACCTTATATGAGGCGTTCTGCTGAAGTGCTTTCACAATGGGTCTTGGTGCAGTACGTTTTGCCGATGTGCTCATTTGACTATAAATTTTAGTGTAATAAAATTATTTCAATGACTATTATTTGAAAATTGGTGATTCACCACAGACTCCAGGAAGACTAATGTGAAATGGAGCTCCTATGAAAACAAACAAACAGACTATTCTCCATCCCCAGGTCTAACAGTGACCAGTCGGCCACGCCGCCGACCTTCCCCAGTCTCCGCACCCGTCTGACATCGCTCTTCTGTCCCGACAACAACGGCAAGCCCAGGAACTGCAGGAGGAGACGCAAGAAGCGCAGGAGAATCCACCGAGAAAACGAGAGACCACGACAGTTCAACGACTTGTGGATTCGAATCGAGGAAAGGTAAAGAGGTTGCTGCTAACTTCAGTAGTCATAAGGCCACACCGATTTAATTTGTTGGTTCACGGATTTTAAAAAAACCCTCTGAATCAAGTCCAGAATGCTCATATTTTAGCCCCAACAGTTGAAAGAGGTCCCTTCTCTCCAGAGTTGTTTTATAGTGTAGTTTTTCCATCTGTGGTTTGATTAAGAGTTTTAAATTCATTGTTTGAATTACGAACCAGCCTGGTATGTTGACTTCATGGCTTCTTTCACAGCATTTGGGGCTATAATAGGATGCCTAGGTCCGTTTATATTTATTTTTTTTGCCCTGTCACTTAGTATTTTTTCTGAAAAAATCCATATGTAATATTCTACCTGTGTAACCATCATTGATGTATCAAAGTTGAATGATGTGAAATGTTGTAGAAGTGTAGCTCATTTGTCTTTTTTTTCTAAAGTTATCCTCAATCCTGCCTGGGTTTTTTTTGCAGTGATTCGCCATCAACAACGAGTCAGAGTCCAACCGAAGTTCCTCCGCGGAGACTGTACTCGCTGCAGAGGGTGTCCTCACGGCGGTCAGTCTCGTCCCACTGCACACACACGTGGTGGCTGCTGACTGTCGTCGCGCTGGCTGCCATGAGAGGACCTCATCTTCTTGTTATGAGATGATACCAGGGTTCACAACAAAGTTCTTCCCCTTGAAGGAAGGGCCATGATGTGCCACTGTTAATTTGTCTTGCCACCAAATTAGGACATTATACAATGTATATGTTGTCACAAGTTACAACCCTTCTGTCTAAATTTTCTGTGCAAAAATGGTGTGTCCCTGATTCTCTACCAAGGCCTTGACAACAAGCGTGCGGGTTAGACAAAATCTTTGCATGCTGTATTGCCACACTGCATGGTTCAGTGTTTGAGGTGCTAAAGGTTTCATAGGCCATGTTTCTTTATGTTACAAAAAATGACCGAGAACAGCAAATCAGTAATATGAAAAGAAGGAAACAACTGTGCTCCTTAGGAAGCAAGTTTAAACTGTAATTTCCTACACAAGAAATTGGATTGTACAAGTCCAGTCTTTGTTAAGGAATGAGCAATGTACAGTTGACTTACATGACTTGTTGAGCAGTGGATCATACATGTAGGTTGTAGAAAGTCTGTGGCACCCCCCCCCCAAGCTTCTGCAAGCTATAATCTACTGCTCTCCCAGTCACGTGTGTCACCTGCACAATTTGACGTCACAAAAGTGGTGGATTGCTTACTAGTATTCCTTGACAAAGTCCAATTTCTTGTGTTAGAAATTACATTTAAAGCTTGCTTCATAATGACTTCTACCAACACAGATGCACTTTCTAGATAACTGTGCTTCATGTTTTAATCTTGTGTGATCTACATTGGCCGTTGGAGAATAGACATTGACAGTGGAATAGGAGATTGTAAAAGTATGCTAAATGTTAGCTTTATCACATGCTGGTGCACCTGTGCAACACATCCTTATGAAGCTGGTGTCTTACACAGGAGTATATCTGAACATTACCTCAACCTGGTGCTTTTAAAAAACGTTTTGCGTTTCATCCTTTAGTTTGGCACATTTTCAAGCATCACAGCCAAAACAACATTTATGGGACCAAAACAATCGTCAGTAACCTTGTAGATTAAACTTAGTGTTTGTGTTATAATATATAAGTTGTCACATCTGGTTCACTTGGCAGCTGCTTAGCAAGAAAAGTGGCTGACGGAAGTGTTTCCAAATTGTAAATAGTTCATTGTAGATTAAGTATGAATGTACATACATGTACCAACTGCCATGAACCAAGTCTTTACCAATATCACTGCCTCTGTACTCATATTAAAGTATGTATGGTATTGTATTTTTATATACCTGTGTATCTAATGAGTAATATCTACTTTTTATACCCATTTTTGAATCAATGTAATATAAATCATACATCAGGAAAGTTTTCTAGTATTGCCATTGCCAAAATTGTATTGAATTGTAACCATTGTTATGGGCCTACATGTGTCGCTGTCAATGTATGTCAGTACAAGACTGGCGATTAGTATTCTATACATTTAAAAAAGTGATTATATTTTGGACACAAATTCATTTGTATACATGTAACGTTATGTATCTTACTGAGCTGTACAGGTAGTTACATACACCCATATGTTCTGACTCCCCTATGTTGCAAAACCCCTATGTTTCGACAGCTCATCCTATGTTCTGACAACCCTGTGTTGGAACATAGGGGTGTCGGAACAAATGGGTGTTGGAACATACGGCGAACCCCATATACATTTGGTAAGAGACCATAGACCATAGTGCCAATTGAGCTTTACCATGTATTTCTGATGCCACAATAGGACACTATATTTATGTTAATGTTTACAGGATTAAATTTTCCAAGTATTTACAATGTATTTTGCTAGTATGAGGGTTTCATTGGCTGTGTTGTCAGTTCCTGTTTCTTCTGTGCGAGGATGGTCATACCTCTGTCCATAATATCACATTCCTCCAAAATCGGCGCACTTCAGTCGGCGGTTTGAGCGTACACTCCTCCAGGTGAGCGGACGTTCCTCCGGTTTTGAGCGTACATTCCTCCAAAATCGGCGCACTTCAGTCGGCGGTTTGAGCGTACACTCAACCAGGTGAGCGGACGTTCCTCCGGTTTTGAGCGTACATTCCTCCAAAATCGGCGCACTTCAGTCGGCGGTTTGAGCGTACACTCCTCCAGGTGAGCGGACGTTCCTCCGGTTTTGAGCGTACATTCCTCCAAAATCGGGAGGCCCACCCCAACTACTTGAATATGACGAATTTATCGTAAAAGAACAGTTTTAGTCTAACATAGGTTCATTTTGGGACAAACAATCCTAGAGCGGCTTGTGCGAAAGGCTGAATACGGAGTTTCATTGTCAATACTTCTGCCATTTCGGTGTTCACCAAACAAAGGAGGCTGAAATCTAGTTTTTAATATCCTTGAACAAAGCAACAATCTCAGAAAAAATGTACCATGTATCTATCCACCCACTCATTAGTAGACTACATTCATTAAAATAGACATTAAATGTGTTCTTTGAACTTTTTATTGCATTACAAATGTCAAGAAGCAATAATAATTCTATTGGGGAAAACCTTCTGTATACAGTTAATTGTTAAAATAAGATGCAGCTCAGCTGCTAGAAAAATATGTTAATATGGAGAAAATTATAGTCTCCTAAATATTTTTCACAATTTTCCACAGTTCCACCTTATCAATTACATATTCCACTTGATTGCCTTTTAAATAGCCTTGTACATTACATGGTTGTAGACATATCTATTTGTACAAAGATACACATAGGCATTTCATTTTTGTGACAGTTGAAGCTACTACAGGTAGGAACATATTAAAGCTATTGGAGTTTCTTCCCATTGCCAAGTACAATATGAACTGAGCCAGTCTTCTTAAGTCTACAATATGCAACAATGATCATTGCAACACACTGCTCTCACCAAACACCAAGGCATGTTGCGTGTTAAAAAAATTTGAACATCAAAAGCATGAAGAAAGTCTTTAACAGTTCATATGCTTTATAAATGATGTGCCTTTACTGAGGACATAATACAACATGTATATACATGTATTTTCTTAAGTACCGACAGCAATGGTATGGTATTGCAACTTAAGTTTTGCTACTCTGTAAGCTAGAGACAGGAGTCTCCATATATAGTTTTGTTATCGTAATGCAACATTAGAAAGTGTAAGTATTACATATTGATCAGTAAAATGTTTGCACCTAATCATACATCTATATGTTTCTGTAAGTCATTAATAATATTGATTATCATACAGCAAAATAACATAATTCTAAGCAGCAAACAACAGACTGGAAGAGGCATGTGGAAGACCTGTAACTGCTATTTTCATATGGAACAAAAACTGCAACATATGCTCCCCCTTTCCTGTTAAACTTCGGTTTCATTGATTGTATTTGCAGAATGCACCATTGCTACATTATGCTTCAAAAACTTGATTCGCAATCTCAGTCTTAGTAGATTTTTGAAGTCTCATAATCTTAATTCGCTACAAGTTAAAATTATAAAAAATCATGATGAAGCTTATTTAGGGTCTAGTCCAGAGGCCAAGACATAAGTTGCCAGGGAAATTTGGTTACTAGGGGTTACCGTATCATTTTCCACTACATTTAGGGAAATGATACCCTTAGCATGGAGTAACTATCCTGGCCAACTATTGACCTTAGTTTCATCAAGTTCTGCCATCCATGACCCCCCCAGAAAGGCCTAGTAGAGGCTAAGCAAAGTCATAGTTATCCCAGAGTTGGGTGACTTCACCAGATATACATCAACAAATTGGACTTACATCAAGCAATTGTCCATGATTGGAGCTCTTGTACAGGACCTTGAAAACGTTGTGCATGGATAGTCAGACTGACCGGAGACGTAAGAGTTAACTTGGTCTGGGTAACCAAACTGGAATGATGACGGGGGTGTGGAGGACTTTCCTTCACTTGAAGTTGGCGTACATGTCAAAACTGTCCAGGTACTCAATCACCGCTCGATAACAGAAGTTATACTGGTCCTGCATAGGGGGAGGAAAAAGGAACAGTGAGCATTAACAACCTCCAGGCATTTAAAATAAGAGAATACCGGCATCTTCTTTTCACCATCAGGACTTCTACACGGGGCTATATAGAACCTTGCAGTTGCTGTAAACCAATGATTAGTCAGGAGTGTTATTGTAATGTTACTGACCCGAGTCTGCACCATATGGGGCCTTTGTTGAGAAGCTCATTACTGACCTGAGTCTGCACCATATGGGGCCTTTGTTGTCTGAGAGCCTTGACAGTCTGGAAGACGTCACAGATGCCTTCAGTCTTTACCCGCTCCAGGATCGTACACAGGGCAATAAACGTTCCCGTACGGCCTGCACCAGAGCTGAGGGGAATTAGTCACAAACTTAAGTTGGATATCAAAACTGAAAGTGATGCTGCAGTACCTTAGAATGCCCATTATCAAAACTTTAATACCTTTGTATTCCCAACCCTAACCTACCAACAAAGTATTATCAAAACAGGATACTGGAGTTTTCTTTTACACAACCAAGATTTCTAATCTAAGTGCTTACGTTTCTCTGAAGGTGTCTGATAGACACCAAAACGTAAGCACCTAAGTGAGAAATCTTGGTTGTGTAGAAGAAAACTCCAGTATCCTATACTATACTTTACCAACCTGATGAAACTATTTTCAGAAGTATTATTGAAACAAATCACGACATCAAAAGTTATCTGGTAAAGTCCGGTTATTTCTACCATAAAAGTTACAGACAGAGAGGTACCTGCAGTGCACTGTGATTGGTCCATTCCCAGACATCTGCTGCTGCTTCTGTACCTGACCAATCAGGTCCAACATCCCAGCTGCTGTGTTGGGGGCTCCCACATCCGGCCAACCGTGGAACTGGAACTGTTGTACTGTCCTGCAGCTTTGGTCCTGATTGGTCAGGAGTGTAACATACTTTTTTACTTGAATTTAGCAAACAGTTTTGACTAGCTCTGACCAGCTACATTGGTCTAAAATATGATAACTCTAGTTCCTAACACATTGGAACAGATTGTGTTTAAATGTGTATTGCTCCATATAGCAGGAGCGTTAGGGTAGGATCACATTTCAGCACTAAGGGCAGGACCATGTATTGTAGCAGGGTGGTAGGGTAGGATCACATTTCAGCACTAAGGGCAGGACCATGTACTGTAGCAGGGGTGTTAGGGTAGGATCACATTTCAGCACTAAGGACAGGACCATGTACTATAGCAGGGGTGTTAGGGTAGGATCACATTTCAGCACTAAGGACAGGACCATGTACTATAGCAGGGGCATTATGGTAGGATCACATTTCAGCACTAAGGACAGGACCATGTACTATAGCAGGGGCATTATGGTAGGATCACATTTCAGCACTAAGGACAGGATCATGTACTGTAGCAGGGATGTTAGAATAGGATCACATTTCAGCACTAAGGACAGGACACTCTGATGATGATGATATTGTAATAACATCCTATTTTATGCTTTGTGCTCTGAACTATAAAGATAATTTGCTCCCCCTAACCTTGGCCTTGCTGTTGGAGATATGGAATGTCCTGAGTGTGTAGTCCAGATGTTTCTCCACACTGTACAGCTCCACTGTCACATCACGGTAAGTGTTGGACACATCCGGCCAGTACTTGGTACACTGATCCTACATGCACAAGAAGTCATTGTGGCTACATTTTTTTAAAGCATTCTACCGGGGACCACAAGACAAAAACAAAGATTTTACAGAGATCTACTAATATGTACTTCTAGAGAGGCACACTTCAGATATTCAGGTGTTCAAGACAATCTTGAGAGGGCCATGATAACAGCCCAAAGTTTCCTACTGAAATGTGACTGCTACCTGACAGTGTACTCACCCTTCCCTTTTCCACCAGCTCAGTCAGCATGACTATAGAACACGTCTTCCACTCCCAGATCATGGACCAGAAGTCGGCAACAGTTTGGGCTAGGGGACCTTGGGTTGCAATAAACGCATCCTTTTGTCTGTACCCCTGTAAAGTGTAGGTCAAGAGAGTCATACTACATACAATAATATATTTCTTTGAAGTTAAAAAAGGAGCTACTGATGCAAAGACAAAAGGAATGCCATATTTTAAAACCAATTTGGTCACATACAATTGCTCAAATCTTTGATAGAAACAGATATTCTACTGGACTTTGGAAAAGACAGCTTAATGTATTTATGTCCAGCAATGTATGTTTTTTCATTGCTTGATTTATGGATTTTAATAACAGTAAATAAATAGCTCTCTGGATTTAACAGTGACCATTACTACATGTACTGCACTAGTGAACCAGACTTGTTACACATTAGTTTTTCCTTGAGAGTAAACAGAAGGACTCACATTCATGAAGGAAGCGTTGATGTAATCAGAGTTCCTCAGGCCAGGTACAGCTGGGATGTACACTCTGTGGGTGTCATCTGGAACAGGTGGAAGGTAGCCTTTAGCATATTAAAGCAGGTGTTTGGGTATCAATTCTCTAGTGGCTACAGGAGAGGAGAGAAGGTTCAAGACAGTTTGGATGTTCATGTCTTTGAAACGTGAGTTCTGAAACATTGGCATCTACTCCTATAATATACCTTACAAAAGACTAAATATGGGATGAGTTTGTTCTTTTACAATCATCATTGTTGAAGCTACTAGCAATGAAGAAATTTAAGATATTGTCCTATATGCACAATGTATGGGTTGTTTTTGAATTTGCTATTTGAACTCATTGATACAATTTGATAAACGCAAAATGAATTTACGGAAATATGGAGCAACACTGACAATTTTTTGCTATTGCATTCTCCTACATGTCAGTGTAGAGACTGTGACTTACATGGCAGAACTTGCAGCACCCTGTTTTTACTGATGTTGTCAGGAAGGTTCCCAGACTTCATGTGGTGTTTCTCTATCGGGATCTTGGTCAGGTTCTGTTGCAGAGCAATGAAACAACGTGTACATTTAAAATGGGGTAGAGGATGTTCCTCAGCAGCATTTGTGACTCCTAGTTTTCATATTGGGTCAGTTAATCTCATTATCAGTGAGTCAAGCTTGTCTGGGGGTAAGTAAGATGTTTCTGACTTAGGAAAAGATGTTCCAGTGCTATTCATGTAAAATGTTTAACATTGAAGTCACAGTGTGGTATAATATCTACCCTAAGGACATATCAATTCTTAGTTTTGGGATAAGTACCTGTTCAACTGCAGATTCTGTTATTAGTCACTGATGAAAAGTTGTGGATACTGCTTGAAAACCTATCCAGTTGCTTATGTATTGTACTGTAAAGGCTTGATTACCATATTAGTGAAGTTAAAATCGCCCCAGTTCCAAACCTTTTTATGTATAGGGTAGTGCCCATCTCCATTTCTACAGCCCTTGGGACACAAAGCTGTGCAGGCTCTACAGCAGGGTTCTAGTTGACTTGCAGTGGTCTGTACATTTGTTCAACTTCCAGAGAAAGCAGTATGAACTATTTAAAATGGCTTTTATGTCTTACCTTAAACTCTGTCTCCATGCCTGTGAGGTTGGATCCAGGCTGCTTGGTGTGTAGTTTGTGCATGTACTTGTGCATGTTAGCCACCTCCAGCTCTGTGTCTCCGTACAGATGGTGCTCCAGCACTGACTGGTAGATGAAGATGTACTGTGCCTGCATGAAAGTCACATAAACAATTGGGGGTGTAATTATTACAAGTCTTGATAAAGATTCCATTTTTGTACATCTGTACGCTAGTTGGATTGTTTCACATTTAAAAATGTTAATTCTACATCTTGTCTTGTCTTGTCAACAATATATTGTCTTGTCAACAGTACTAGGCCTTTGGAACAGCCAAAAGCTAGTTGGGCATCCCTGGCTATATGTCTTTCACACTGCTACAACCATCAATGAATAAAATGAATCTGTATGTTTGGTAATCAAACAGCACCCTATTCACTATAACAGGACCCAAGGAGATTCAAGATACCAGGCTTGTCAAGGGTTTCTAATGTTTACTGTGACTACTTAAGTATTCTTCAAGTCCTTGGAGTGGTTACATGACTGTATACAGTCATTTGCCCTCTCCTTGGTGCTGAAATGTCTATACCTATTGTGCATAGACTTGCATAGCCGGTAAACCACCTTCAGGCCTAACACACTCAAATATAAGCTGGACTGTAGTCAAGAACCCTAAGCAGAAAATGTACTGAAAACTGAAAAGCTGAAAACCACATTCATCCAGATGAACCAAGCCTGCAGATGCCTCACCTCAGTCTGCACCATGTAGCTCCTGTTGTGTCTCATCCTGGCCACACAGCCGAACACGTCCACCTTCATCTCTGCTGACATCATGTCAATCAACGTGTCCATCACAATGAAGGTCCCTGTCCTCCCCACACCAGCACTAAGGAGAAATTACATACATCCAGATGAACCAGAACTTTGCAAGAGGAGTGAAGGTGGCAGTTTACATTAGAGCTCACAGATCTACCCTGAACAGAGACGGGCGACTCAAGTTATCTGGCACGTACAACCCGCTACTACGGTCACGTGTCTCTGACGTTACATTCCAAGAGCAGATGGGTCCATTCCGGGAACAAGGTTGAAGGAGTAAGCTGAAAATTTGGGCTAAGTCCCTAATTCATTCCACTGAGTGTTAAAGCAGGTATCTATGACAACTTACCTGCAGTGTACAGTGATAGGCCCTGCCCCTACTGGGTTGGACATCTTCACCCTCTTGACAAACTTCATCATGCCCAGGGGACTCTGGGGCACTCCGAAGTCTGGCCAGCTGGTGAAGTGGAACTGGGTGATGGTGCGACGTTTCTTCAGCTGTGTTTGATACAAGAAGTCAAACTGAGGAGGCTGCAACAATCTTTGGCACGCAAAGTGATGGTTAAACTCCAGACCTCATGGAAAACCAGCTAAGAGGTGGAGGGATCAGGTTAGGAATGACACAGGAGTTAGTCTGAAGAACACCTACGATATGAGACTAGAGACCATTGTATATTTTGAATTGTCACTACGAAGTGACCCACTTTTCAGTGCCATCATTATTATTGGTGAAATTCGACAAAAAAACAATAAATGAATATCTACCACTATACTTAACAAGCAAATAATAGCCATACGCACAGACTATGTTTATTTACTAGTACCTTTTTAATTTAATGTCAGTGGCAACAAACACGGTGTACTTGTGCATAATAAGATCAGTAAAGACCTGTGCAATGTTAGGGCACCCCTGTTACATGTAGAGAGGTTGCAAGCTCCATTAGCTTGGGCTTCTTGCAGTTATTCTTCCTGATATCATGACCAACTCCTTACCTGTATATGCTGAACTGTCAGAGTCCTGATGACAAAGTCCACAAGTCTGACCACTTCTGTCACCTCCACACTGATGTCCCCATACTGACCAACACCTTCCTCTGGCCAGTACTGATGACACTTGGTCTAGATGGGAACAGACAGGGAAAAAAAATTTTTGCTTCATGTACAGTACAGTGCATTAAAGACTAGTGGTATCTGTATCTGTACCTGTATATACGGTATAACTGCCCCTCAGTGTAACACACCAGCTTTGCAGGCACACAATGTGGCATCAGCTGGCTATATCACACTGAACGACTTGTTACACCTAGCCTTTGAACATCTAACCTAACATTGTGTAAAGCGATCTAGCCCCTACATGTAAGTACATGTAATGTCTAATACGTTCCACTTTCTATGGCCACATTGTATACAAAGTATCCTCATATTCTTTGTGAATAAGAATAAGAATTAATCATAATTCCAAAAAATCTTCACCTTATTTTTCTCGGCCAGGTTTGTAACCATCACAACTGTTGCTGAGTTTTGCTCCCACACCATTCTCCAGAAGTCATTCACAGTTTCTTTCTTGGGGCCTGCAAGAAATACATTCATTTACAACAAAATCAATTACATTTTTTGGTTGTTTCTTTTTTTGACAACTATTGCATGGAATCTGGTATGCCATCACTACACTGAAAGGACAACATGCAGGTCAATGTTACATGTGTACACACATTGTGCAATCTGAGCTTAACAGCTAATGTTACATGTAGATAGCTTTCATTACAAATCTCAAAAACCTTTACCTTGTGAAGCTATAAACTTGTTAGGAACATCGTAACCCTGCTCAATGAGAAAATGGAAAAAAATGGCATTATAAGAGAAAATCAAAATGGGAAATATTCAATTTAGTCTGTACACAACAATGCCACATAGACATTTTCCGGCACACAAACATTTATGGTAAGGTCTCTTCACATGATGCATCGGAAAATGGTAGACAAAATGCTTGTTAATTTAGTTTTGGCAATCAAAGAACGGAATAACAAATGAAATACATGTATATTCAAGGTAACACTAAATGTGACACTGATAATCTATCTACCAAGGAATAGATGTTTGCAGCAATGCACTGAAGAAAGGTTATCAGAACTGAAAAGTAGCTAGCAATTATGTTACTATCTTATTTTCAGAATCCAACATGGAAACAAAGATTTCATGCTCACATCTATGAAGGAGGCATTGATATAATCACTTCCAGGCTGGCCTTCGATGGCGGACAGAACTACACGTGCACGGTCATCTATGTAGGGTAGAAGGAACAGAAAGAAACAACACAAGTGATTAATCATATTTCAGCAAGTACATTGGTACTATAGACATAAGCGTTCAACTCTGACTAGATTGTTGGTAAAGTGAGCCCTATGATATCATATCCAGCTGCCTGCAAAGCTGGTGTATTACACTGAGGGGCAGTTATACCGGCTATACAGATACAGATACATCCATATAATACTCCAGGACCTTATACATGTACCAAGGATGCAAGGACAGAAAATGTGGTGCTGAAAGACAGCTACATGTTCACCACTTGCACTGTCCTTGGTGCTGAATGACAAGTGCACTGTCCGAAAGAGAATTGAAATTAAAATTATGTCAAAACTATCAGCTGTCAATCTTGTAATTTGTGGCTTTATCAAATCTAAAGCGTTCCACTTACATGGCAGGATGTTGGCAAATCTGTTCTTGACCTTGTTCTCAGGAAGTGAAAAGGCATCATGGGAATGGGGAAGCTTCTGGGGCAGAGTCTGGAACAAGACATTATGTAGAGTTGATGTGAACAAAGTCTTTCACTGCTGATGTCTGATGCATTAAACCAATATAACATTAAGCTGTACATTGGTTTAGTATTAGATGTGACCCAATTTTGACCTCATTATCATCATCATATAGCTCTGTGGCTATATGATGACATTGTGGCTTACAACTTGTAAAAAGCTATGAATGCTGTTTTCTTTATACGGAGGGTTATTGGAAAATCTCAATGATAACAAATTTTTTATATTATTCACAGAAATCTTTTATCTAGATTGCCCTTTTCCCAATTTTTGTGCTGTCTTTTTGAGACCCAAGAACAAACTACCGATAGTCAAGTCTATTTTAGTCTTTAAAAGTTTTATGTTTATTTTTGAAGTGATATAACATGAATCTATTCTTGTAATTCACCTCATATTCCTCCTTGAAGAGTTGGTCGTCGTTAGCGTGTCGTCTGTTGTACTGCTCCTCCAGTCTGCTCAGCGGGATGGGGGGGTAGGCCGCGGCTGGCGAGGCGTTATAAGCAGCAGTTAATCAGGTTAGTGCCATTAGTACTGTACACAACAGGGGTTAGTCACACGCTTAGATGCTATGCACCTATTTGTAGACCTAAAACAATAGGAAACAGATGAATGAATTGCACTTTATTCATTTTCCTGCTTTTTCTCAAGAATGGATGAAAAAAAGAAGATCGTTAAGAGAGGGTCTGTGGAAATTTACTGTACAAAATTTGAACCAGGAAAATTTCAAAAGGAAGCTAACAGGCGTCAAGCCGTCCATCGTGGAATTAGACATAGACGAAAACAGGTAAGTGCAGTTACTGTTGGCTAATACCGATAGTTAGGGCCTGGCATAGACAGAACATAGCACCAAATGGAATGAAATATAACATTCGTAAGAATTATCAAGAAGCAAGTTGTTTAAATTAAATGTTCAATTCAAAAGGCTAGCCAACCCACCAACTACATAACTACTGTAGTTTACAAGGGTAAAAGAGTGAAACATTTTCTTACACAATGGCATAAAAATAAAGTAATAGAAACCTGGAGGGTCTAAGTCTGCCAGTGAAATGTCCCCCGGCCTCTTGCTGTTATAATTTGTCCTCCTGGTCCCCCCTGCAGAAGGGTAGTCTGATACTGGAGGTGGAGCCTTCTTATGGGAGGACCTTTTTCTGAGGGACACAGGAAACATTGTAGTCATGTAATATAACTGTCAAAAGTTTTTAAAATTGTGTACAACTGGGGATATGTATGGTGTCTTACAGCATGAAAGAGCACTGTACGTTCAAAACCCGTTGATCTGAAAATTTTCTGCATTATTTGTGAATGTATCATGGATCTCTTTTTTGTGAAATACATTTCTTTTTTTGCTCATGGGGCCTACAAAATGTACTATTAGAAGGATTAACATTATATCTTATGAATCTACATCATTTATCATTGTTTTACATAACTTTAATCTCACCTTATAAGGCACACAGTCAAAGTGATACAAATCACAATCAGGAGAACCACAGCTATTATAACTCCAACAATGGGCCAGATGTTATCCCATAGAAAATCTGTAAATCAAGAAAATCAAGTTAATGTCAGGTAAAGATATAAATCAATATGTCTAGAATGTCCATGTCTATATACTAGTGAGGTAAATGAAAAAAAGAATACTACATATGAGGCAGGATTAATTATTAATTAACAAAAGTGATTAAATATGTAAACAAACCTTCTTCCTTATTGGTGACCACTGGGTCAATGTAACTACTGGTTGAGAAGTGAGGCTGAAAAAAAAGACAAACGATATGTTTATTATCAATATTTAGTACATCATTCTGTTATTTCACAAAATTTTCTTGCTGATATAAACTAGCAAAACCTACAAAACTACTCATACATGAAGGCCACTCTTCCTGTCCTTGGTGCTGAATGATAATTTCTTTAATGATAATTTCTTTTCCTCAAAATTGTATCACTTACTTCCAAGCAGCCCTGTGAAAATCCATCAAGATGCAGGATTAGACATACATTTACAGCATGCAAACGAATGCCCTAAGTCTACATAACACTTAATAACTCCGATAGAACATGTACCTGTGAGCCATCCTGTGGTCTGGTTCCATACACCCTGACTGCTGCAGTGTAGGCTTTGCCTGGGGACAGAGGTCTGTTTGTGAAGGTCTCTGTGTAGATCCAGTCTGATGTACCCTGCAGCAAGAATTATGGTACAACTTATTGTGTAATATAAGCATTGTTCCAAGTACAAATGTAGCGAAATCTGCATAACTGTATCTGGTACCATCTAAGTGTCAATGGTTGCATAGTCTCCAGTAACCACCATGACTAATATTCTGTCAGCACATGATAGTTACTGTAACAATATGTTGTGACCATGTATGATGATAGTAATGATGATTGGATCAATATTGATGCACTGTTACAACAGAAAGGGCAGTCCGTACCTGTTCATCTCGTTTCCTCCTGCCAACAGAAGCACAGCTGGTCCTGGATCCATCTCCAACAGTAACAGACTGTGGTAAGGAGTTCCTAGGAAAGGTACAGGGGGACTGGTATTGGTATGGTTGTACTGATTAAGAAGTAGAACAACTCTTTAGTGTAACTCCTCTTAGTTTGGAGTATCTACTGGTTGATATTTGTTGCTATTCCTTTGGGGGCATTGGAATAAATTGGAATGCCATGCCACTACCTTTGGTCAAAATGTTCCTGTCCTTGGTGCTGAAAGACAGGTCTACATGTTGTAGACAATTCTAAACAACACATTTTGAACCAAAACATGTTCTGGATGCATGCTACTGGTACTGGCGCTGAATAGCATTCAAACTCACAAAGTTAATCTCCGGTTCTGTGTTAGGGAACCCCTAGTAAAGGCAAAGAGAAACCATGTACATGTACATGTACAGTATCTGTATTGCTGTACTGATCAGGTAAAAGAATTGTATCACTACCCAATTTAAATCTCAAGTGAAACATGAAAACAATGAACCAGGTTATTTGCTAAAGATAACTTTATTTCCCTTGACTCACCTGTCCCATGCTGCAGTGACATAAGCGTTGTAAGGTGGCTTCTGGTTGGTCTGTGTAGTATCCTGGTAACCTCTGACCTCCAGCAGTTCAGCTGTAGGAAGGTCGTTGACCCCAACCCCTGTGTCCATCTCTACCACCACCACATGGTAACACCTGTGTTGGCAACATTTCAGGGTGACATTGGCATGTGTATTACTTAGTGTTATTAACTGTCCTCCACCAGGCCTCCCAAAAAGGGGTTAGAATTTGGCCACAATTAACTGGGTCTGACCATTGAGTTAGTCTGACTGGCTAGGGGAGTGGGAACTCAGTTAGGGTTTCATTTCCCCCTCGAAAACAAAAATAAGTTATTTGGCTATTTAAATTAGTCTCCTTATTTGGCTAAATTTTACTGTTTTTGAGACCACATTGTTAGTCCTGTGTAGACTACTTTTCAACCATCTTGATTCTACTAGCCAAACTGCTACAGTGTAACATGCATTTTGCCACCTGAATTCAGTATTAAATGTTACCATATTAGGGTGACACAAAACCACTTCCACCCTGAAATTAGTATTAAAGCTTTCTAATCAGCTCTTAACCCAGGAAGGTGGAAATGTGTGACTTACTGTACAGGTCCGTACTGCTGTGAAGCTGGCTGGAGTGTGAGAGGGAAGGTGGTGGACGTGATGTTGTCCAGGATAGGAACAGGAGACTCTGGCCTGGCTGGTTCTGTAGCAAAACGATTATAATAACAGGATGAAATTTTGTGATTTTTTAAAAACTGAAAATTTGTTCTTGTTAACTCAGTATTCATTTTGTGTAGAATGTATCAGGAATACCCAGAACAATTACTGACATTTTAGTGTAGATAAAGTGGTCTAACTTCCCAGTTAATCAAGACACTTTGGCAAAAACTGTTGTTATTCTACTGATTGAAAGTCCTTACTGCCAGGTGGTACAATACAGTACACAGGCTGACTGTGGTTGCCCTGGCCTGTGTAGGTAGAGGCTGTCACAGTGATGCTGTAGTTGGCATTAGGCTTCAGTTCCTTCATCACCAGGCCTGTCTTCAGCAGGGTGACAGAGCTGGAAGTCGGCAACATGTCAACTTGATCCCCAAAGCTCTTGTAGTTGGCGCCATCTAGTGGATTCCAAGTGTAGTACACCTAAAAGAAATCATAATAAATTGAAACTATTTTCCCCCCAATGCGAGCACAACATATTGACCTATTCTGAAATTTTTAAAGAGATTCCAAATATTTGATATCATAACATCAACCATTCAAACACATGGGAACCTTAAATAACAACTAAATTAAGATCACCCTTACTGTCCTTGGTGCTGAAGGACAATTACCTCAATATACATTTTCACTGAGAATTGAAAGATTACAATAGAAAACTTACCATAATAAACATAAGCAAGCTGTATACATTTTCCTTCATCACTAATGCAAATTCTCAACTAACTCCACTATTTGGTAATGGTACAAAACAATAGATAATTCCTACACTTACTGTATATTTGGTGATGGTCCCATGTGTTTTTTCGGGTGGACTCCAGGTGACCTGACACACTGTGTCTGTGTCATTGCTCTGTACTTGTACAGGTGCTGTGGGATCTAGTTGACATATACAGGAGGAACAGGTTAATATAACTAACTTTAGAACATCTGTTTTGCTTAAGCCCTTGTTTGTGTTGAATGAACCAGTCCATAGTCTTTCAGGTCCAGAATTGGTGCACAGAGGTTTAGGTTTTTTTTGTGCCTCAAGTCCAAAGTGATTTTCAAATCCAGTACCAAATCAGTACACAACTTATCACAGAGATCTTATTCCACCATGTTTTCTCGGATCATGTCAACTAACCAAAATGTCTTTGATTATTAGATTCATATCCCTAACAGCACGATATTATCCTACCTTAGTAGAATATTCATGGTGAAGTGAGCCACATTGCAAGATTTTTTGACTAATGTGAATTCAACTTGAAAATGTGCCATTTATCAAAATCCAAGCATGTAACATTAGTCATTTCACATTCAAAATGTGAAACTCCATATAAAGCCAACTTGGTAATTGTACTTACACCCATCGCTTGTGGTAGCCTCCACATATACATCTTCACTTTCATATTTCCCATTGAAGGATTGTATCTAAAATTCAAAGGAATGCAAGAAGTGAACCAAAATGTTTTGTACTTTACTTCTTTCTAGCTTTCTTTGCTAAACACAAATGCAAGGGTATCTATTATACAAACTGTTACAATACTTTGAAAAAGCATTTTCCCAAAATATCCAACAATTCTTTCCAGTTCTAATGCTTTTGTTTCAGTATGTCATCCTGACCTGATCACACTAACCTGTTTCGTTTAAGAAATTGAGATCTTAAAGCACAAAATCTTGTCTTCAATCTCACCTTGACTCTGTACTCCGTGGCTTGTTCTAGCCGCTCTACCATAAGCGAGTTTTGGCTGTAAATCTGCCGACCGTGGTCCCACACCCAAGTGAGCCCCCCGGGTCTGTACAGGTCCACCCTGTAGTTGATGTAGGGGCCCAGCACAAGCTCTGGTTCACTCCAGGTCAGCTCTAGCTGGTGCCAGGAGATGTTCACAAGCCGCACATTTCTTGGCACAGACGGAACTGGGGAGCAAACAACATACAATCCCATGACATTCCTGACTGTACATACATTGTACATACTGGGGCGCCAGCATGCCCTTTTTTGTAAGGCGTAATCAGGCCTTTTTAGTCTTCATAATCCGTAGGCAGCCTCCAAAAAAATCAACGTAATTCGTAATTATTACATGTACATTAGCCGCAAAGCATAAAGTTTTAATCAGCTCTGAGAATTTAACGCAGTTCGTAATCGATATAATCGGCAGCGAAAGTGTTGCATAATTCATAATCACTACCCCCCCCCCCCCCACTGCAGGCCCTCATACTGGGTTCACAAGGAGTCAAATTCATAAAGCCCTGAGGAAGGTAGGCAAAAGGTTACAGACATGCCTGCGGGTAGAATCCCTTTGGTTGTGTAGCAAAGTATATGTCAGGATAGAGACTCCAATCTGGTAGAATCAATGATTCTACATGTAGAGATCACGATTAGAGTCTCTGTCAACATTGACTCTGACCAGAATCTCCTAAATTCAAGCAGAATATTGCAAACTTCAAACTATTCTACCTGTATTAAACTTCAGGATTCAGTAGTATGATTTGAATCCTAGGTATCATAAGGTTTAGGATAAGGCGGTCATTTAAAAGTGATGTAATGAAAATGGTGTCTCCAAATGTACTCATTGCTAACTGCATATCTACCTCCTGGTTCTGTCTCTAACACCAGAGGGTCACTCCACTCCCCCACAATTTCCTCCAACACAGCTTGGATGGAGAATGTGTAGTTGGTGTACACCTAAAACAAAACACAACTTTCAAGCAATTTGAACTTGTTTGGTTCTTAGAGTAAAAAAAAAGATTAAAAAAAAAGGTTTTAAACTTCAAAATCAATATGAAAACAGTCTTAGAATAATAACTACACATTACTGTCAGAAGTGACTGTAGTCAGATGCGAGTCTTCTCCCAACTTGTTTTCTCCTTATGCCCCCCCCCCCAAAAAAAAGTTACTCAGTTACACAAGCAATGGAATATGATCTTGGAAAGTTGCTTCAGTTTTTTGGCATATCTTATTACCTGGATGTCTAACCTTTATTGACATGTTTTCTCCTTCTTGTTGAATTTTTACAAAAATGTCAGAGAATCAGGAATCTATAATGGTGTGGTCTGGTATGCAGGAAACCAGGATATGCAAGCCTGCATGTACCTGTAAACCTCTCACAACTGCTGGTCTGGCATTGTTGGGTGTTTGTCGTGTAGTCTGTAGTTCTGTTGGACCAGTTGTTTGACTGTACTTGATATGGTAATACTTAATGTCCCCACTGAAGTCTTCAGTATGCAGGGACCACGTCAGGTCCACACTGTTGGAGTCAGGAGGAGGCAAACCCCAGATTGTGGGTTTGACTTCATCTGGGCCTGAGAAGAAAGAGATGATAACTTTGAGGACTTGGGACTATTTTGTAACTTAAGAAAGGTAACATTTGCAAAGCAAATGCATAATGTTCACCTTAGCATATGGTCTGCTCTGTTAATTCTTACTCAAACACATTCATATATATGGTGACAGGAGTCTAAATCCCTCCTGCTATAAAATTGCAACATGATGTAACCCAACACCAGTTACCATGGTGACAGACATCTGGTTCAGGTCATTGGCTTTATTGGTTTGGAAAAGGAGAAGAAGAAGAGGAAACAGAGCAAAAACAATATGTTGTCCTTCGGTAAACACAATAAGTCTGTATGAAATATATACTAAGTTCAAAAATTGATACTGGCACAAGGCTGATGAGTGCATATCATACTTCCTGGTTAATTTCAACAGTTGCAACAGTTTCAACAACTGCAGACACAGCCTTACGTGGGGAGGGGGGTAGAGTACTATCTGTATGAATAATGATAAAAATCTAAGTAGTAAGTTGCACGTGCTTACTGATACAGCTGTAGCCATCTCCTGCTAGCTGTGAGCCAGTGGGACAGGTGCAGGTGTAGCTGCCAGGGGTGTTGACACAGGTGCCCTCACAGTTGTGGTTACCTGCCGCACACTCATCCTTATCTGGGGAGAGACAAAAGGTGAAAACAATTGAAAACTGTAGAAAAAAGAAAGCGAATTACATGTTCACGACAATGATAAGTACGTCAAGGTACAGTAGTGGCTGCGAAAACTGCAAACATAAAAGTACTGCAAAACAATTGTGACTTACAGTATGCTGCAAGGTTTATGTCTGCTACAGAGAATTAGAATTTCTATTAGTGGAAAACAAATTGACTAGGGACTCTGACATGTAGCTAGTAGACTCTAACTCAAGACTGTTCTCCCAGAATTACTGAAAATAGTATCACTGCAGGCTACAAATAACACTGAGATGATGCAGTTACACAGTAACTGAACACATAAAACGTTTACCAAAAGAGTGGCTTAGAATTTATACCGACCTATTTCGCACCTGTCTCCCTCCCAGCCACCTGTACAGCTGCAGTCCAGTTGGTTGTAGGTGGAGGAACATGTCCCGCCATTTAAGCAGTACGTGCCTGTGTTGCAATCAGCTGCATTTGTTGGGAGGAGAATAAAACTATTAAAACTGTCCTTGATGTTGATTATATTATAACATGTAAGTTTTCAGACTTCCAAAATACTGTACAATCAAGTTTGTGGCAATTAAATGTCAGTTAAATGAAACTTAAACTTCTCATAATTATGACAAGTAAGTTTTCAGTTTCCAGTGTACACTGTACATACCAATCTGACATGACTCCCCAGTCCAAAACTCCTGACATCCCCCTGTACAGGCTCCAGTCTTTATGTTACAGGCTGCTGGTCCATCCGAACAGTGGCAGGTCTGGGTACAGCCTGCTCCATACAGGCCCTCTGGACACACTGGAACAGCAGAAAACATTCACTCACCTTATGCTCAACAATGGATCACAAGATACTGATTTGATATACTAGTATGTGGTTTGGTACAGCTTCATTTAATAAGAGCTGAAATTATGTAAGCTAGTAATTCAAGTCAAGTACCACACTCACTCACTCACTGTCCGGTTTATCGTCTGTTGTTCCCCATCTTCCGAGGGTTAGACGTGCTTGTACAACGTGCTTATCTTACCAATAAGATAAAATGGATTGGTGATGGCATGAAGACTTGAACCTGTTGCAACCAAGTCACGACTGCCCTCACCTGATTTGTAACCTCAACAAAAAATGGAGGTATTGTTTTTGGTATGTCCGTTTGTGTGTGTGTCGGATACGTGTCTATGTATGTGTCTGTGTTTCCACATAGCACTTAAGTCAGGTTGTAATGGATATGGTTGGATTCAGTCTGTCCCAGAGGGAGAAAGAAATTAATCATGTTTACAACTGGTAGCACTTGTTACACATGTACTGTCACCTCACCTGTAGTGCACTCTATGCCCATGAGTCCTGCAGCACAGGAGCAGCCGTAGGGGTCAGTCACACACAGCAGCTGTCCTGTACAGTCTCCGTTAACGCACTCTCGGGTACAGGTGGTGCCAATCTTGTTATCTGCACACGCTGTGGACAGGAGAAGAGGTGTTTCATTGCAGCATTCTGACACTATTAAGTGTTGAACTTGTCAACAGACATACATTAGTAGGTACATCTAAAACAGCAAGTTTATTTGGTTGGTAAAAGCTGGGGTTTTTATTTTCTCCTTGGGTTAACATACAACTTTGTCAAATAGAGAGAAAAATAGCCATCCATAGAACTACATGTATACATAGGCAACCCAGTTGTACATGTACAATGTAAATCTATGCAATGTTGCTGGATAATCCATCTGGCATTTAATTCTCTCTATTTGGTCAATCTTCACTATTCTAACAGCAAGTCAAGAAGTCTGGTAGAGACTACCTTTTTTTCTGCCTTAAAACATTTTGGTTTACTGTCCTTGGTGCTGAAATGACCATCAAAAGAGTTCTGGACAAATACCGGTAGGAACATTCTAAACATCTCATTTTCATGTACAAGAACTGGGGTTCCAATGTTTGCTTTCTAGCCACATGCTTTGAAGCTGCTGAATATTTTCGAAAGAGATGATTGGTTTACCGTCTTTTAAATTTCTTAGCCCTTACCACTTTCACAGTAGAAGCCGTGGAAGCCGGGAGGACAGACACACTCCCCCGTGTTGTCATCACAGACACCTCCGTTATAGCACACAGGACAGTCCTCTGCACAGGACGGACCCCACTTTCTCTCAGAACAACCTGATGGTTAGGACAAAATCTGTACTAAAACTACTGTAGTCAAACATGTTTTATTGAGTGGGTGGGCCGGCCACTCTCCCTTCACAGCTAAGGGCTGAATTGTGAGGAGCTTATAGTTATTGGGGCTTAATCGCAGGGGTCTAGAGCGGCTGCCATTTGGCACTAACTCAGGTGACCTCACACATATTTATGGTGATAAGACAATGGACTTGAAGAAAACTTTCACAGTAGGCAGGTGAAGACTACATACAGGATGATAGACTGTTTGGGTAAATGGGGAAATAGGTATTGAAGTGGTCACAATGGCCAGGTGGCCCTTATGTAGAGGTGCCTCTAGGGCAGGTTTGAATGTAAATGCATATAAAGTAATGTAGGATTGAAACCTGTTGCTCTGAATGCGATGTACCACTTATTAATTTCATTTTGTTTATAATTTCAAACACTTTCATATCACCTAAAGCATACAGTTTCAGTTTAGTTTCAGTTTATTTATTTCACCGCCTGTTTCACCAGCAAAAACACTCAGATACATAAGAACCTGATTTACATTTCAAGATGATTAAAATGTCTAACATGATATAAAGTAGGCAACTTTACCTCTGACAATAAGCCTCATGATCCCTTGTTTCCCATCATTATACCCCTGATAGTAGCACTCATAGATCCCCTCATCTGATGCCTGGACACTCTCTATGCTCAGGCTGAGTCCATTCTGTCCTTCCAACACAGACCCAGCAGTCCCATCCTTCCTCCACTCCAGGGTACCAGTCCTGCTGGACTTCTGCTCCATCTGTAGGGTCACGGGGTCGCCCGCGCTGGCGGTTACTGTGAAGGCCACTGGCCAGACATCAGCTGAAACAACCAGTAATTTCTAATTAATTTCCAAAATAATTTCTAAAACTTGTGTCTGCAACACTAATTGTAACCTCTTTAATCTATAAGTCTGGCAAAAGTCGGGCAACATGAAAAGTTTATCAACAATTGATGCCAACATGCCAACAGGCATGTTGATGTAATGTTATCGCTTGTGAGAAGTATAACAGTACTGTTTCTTTATAGTACATTGAAACTATCACTAAACTATAACTATTTTAAACATGGTATCATTATTAAAAAATATTTAGATCACTGTTTCAAATAAGTTGTCCATCAGAGGACAAGTAGTTTTCTTTCAGTTTAAGAAAGTAGTAAAAGTGTTTTTGAAATAAAGCTACCTTTTGTCTCAAAGAAACTGATGCAAAACTACAAAGGCAAGGAAATAGCTTACTAACAGGCACATCTGTTTTGCTTTAGTCTCTGTTTGTGTTGGATGAACCAATTAGCAGTGTTTGTTTTGGGTCTAGTCAAACCAGTCCTCTGAGGTTTAGGTCTGCCAATTTTAGACTGGTCCAAAACCATTCTTAGGGGACAAAGACTAGGATGGCAACCTGAGCTTGGAGGCAAATGCTACAATGGAAGTACGGTAATGGAAGTTTAAAACCTTGGATAAAACTGCAGTTGCCTGATGACAAATGCAGACCCAATACTACTGACTTCTTTTTCAACTTTTTTTCAAGGCAATGGCCTTTTATCTTGGTTAAACAGTCAGCTTGGATATAATATTTTATGTGCAGAAAGTTCTGCAGGAAAGAGTTCTGACAAGTTGCAATACAGTATACTGTAATTGCAGGTAATACTAACCTTCTGATTTCATTTTCAAGGCAATGGCCTTTTATCTTGTTTAAACAGTCAGCTTGCCTGTATTGTATTTGCAGAATGTTCCGCATAAAAGAGTTCTGACAGCTTGCAATATAATTGCAGGTAATACTACTTTACCTTCTGACTTCATTTTCAAGGCGATGGCCTTTTCTGTGGTTCCATCAGGGCTCTTCACCTGACAGGAGAACGCGCCCACCCTGAAGTCTCGTGACTCGTCCCAGATCTTCACACTCTTCCCTCCGGAGACGTTGCCACTGTTCCTCTTACGTGTGAACGTTGTTCCCGCTCCGGTGTTAACTTCCAGGCCAAACGGGTACCTGATCGGGAGATGTTTAAAGGTAAAACTTTTGTTCCTTCCAATACAAAAGGGAAATGTTCTCACCTAGAGATGTCACAACACATCCAGTTATCTGCAGTTATATGTCATAACAATATTGATAAAGTAATTTGGTGAATATATTTTTTCACGGTAATGATAAGTTGGCAGTATAATGACTGCGAAAAAACGCCGATAAGAGGTACAACAAAAAAATCGTGATTTACAGTGTGAACTTCGAGGGACCTTTGACCCAATCCTGACCTCACACTTCCCTACAGTGTAGGATCAATGCGAGTCAGGAAAAAAATGTCAGAGGAAGACCAATGGACACTGTCAAAAATTTATTTAGACATCCTCCTTTCTTGTGTTGGATATAAGTTTTTAAAAATTTAACGTATGGGTGACGTTACCTGTTCTGGTTGACGATACTTCCAGTGTAGTAACAGTACAGCCAGGTATCCGCTAACTCCTCAAAGAACTGGTACTTACTGACCACCGTGACATCTACAACTCCTGGAGGACAAGCAAAAGATTTTGCACTCAAAACAAAGATGTGCTCTGGAAAAAGCATGACACCACAATGTACTATAATTATACAGTGCTTGCTAGCCTGGATCCACAGCACACAAAGACGAAAAGGTTATCCAGTGTTCAGCCTACTGTGCTTTGGGTCTGCGGCACCCAGGCTATTGAGGGCTTAGCTGATTTCTTCCAGGCATAATATCTGAAAAATGTTGTAGAACACTTTTTCAGAGTTTAAAATTTCCTTCGAGAGCAATAGTACAAAAGTATGACCTTAACCTACCTCCTACAGTGTGTAACACTAGGACCAGTGTCCACACCAACAGCGCTCCACTGCCCTCCATGTCTGCCGATCACTTCCTGTGCTGCTTGCCTGAACCTCAAGAGGGATTTGGACTCTCTATTGGGTGGTGGAGAAAAACAAACTGACTCAGTACTGCACAGTATCTCAAGGTCTACCTTCTTTGTTAACTTACGAAGTGGGGAGGAACCACTAAAGACTCGGGTGGCAGGGAGTAATCTCATCTCTTGCTTAGTTACTGTACTGTAAGGATAATTTTCTTGTTCTAACATAATAGCCTTAGATTTAAAGGGACTAATTACACTGGCTTACTCTATTGGTCTTTTTGGTTAACCCTCATTATGCATAATGCTCCAGCATAAGTAGTTCACCAAGCCAGCTACGAAAACACTTCTTGCCACTGACAAAACAATTTGGAGCTTAAACTTTACATTAAACAGATTTCTATCTTCAGGTTGAATTCTGCAACCCTGTGTGCTTTTAATTTTTTTTCTCTTCCATAATCTGTTTTATTTGCAATAAGATTTAAAAAAAAGATCTCACAAGTTATATGCATCCACTAAATCACTAAAACAGGTACAATGTTTGGTGTGGGAAAATATTTCTGATCCACGTTTGAATGTCATGTGTCAAAATTGCCATAACTCACATGAGATTAAAGTTAGACACAACTGTCAACTGTGACCAACAAATTTTAGGGTCACATTCCCTTCATTCTAGCGCTTAACATTTGGTCACAGGGTAAGCTATATCACAAATGTATACTGTGGTAAAATAGTCTTGCAAAATGTGTTTGTTACAATTCTTTAAGTCTTTAAAAAAGTCTTAGAGTCAGACGGGAAATTGAAAGAAGTCCATGAGAATCTATGAGAAGTCTGTCTGGCAGAGTCAAAGCAACTTTTCAACCAAGGACGTTTTATGAAAATAAGGAAGTTGCTTCAATTCAGCCTTTTGTACAGGCATTTAGTATGTCCTTTCTCGGTGCACATCTAAATTTTGCAACACAGAAAACAAAGCCAACTTTATACACCTTTCTAAACACTGGGAATTCCTGGTCTATAGCCTCTTTGATCATCTTTCAGTAGTTCCTGAGTCTTTTGTGGTTGGTGGTCCTGTTAGTGGGTCACCCTGACTCACTCAGCCTTGTCAGACAGTCCTTCCTCTCCCATCTCACAGGCATGTCTAATTATTCTGAGCCACAGCACATGGGATGGGTGGGGCTACAACTTTCACTGGAGGGGGCTGGCATTGCCAAGCAGATGTTGAGGTGGAAGGCTTTTATTATTGGGGTTTCTTTTTTTGCACTGGAATCCCCAAAAAAGAAAACATTCCAAGGCAAAAAAGAAACCCTGATAAAAAGTCTAAAGACATGAAAAAAAGCCCAAACCCAAACCTCTGCTTGGAGATTAGCTATAATCAAGGAGATTATTTAACCTCCTTGCTATAATCCAGAAAACATTGGGACTTTACACCCCAATATCTGCTCAGAGATTAGAATTAGGGTAAACTAGAGAAATGTCAAAAAAAGGATGTTATAATTATTTCAACCAGACTATTTTCCCATCCGTCAATGTTCATATGCAATTGATACATATATAGTACTACTAGGCATTTTGGCACCACTTGAGAAAAATGTGTCGCAGTCAGTGAGTGACCAAAATTTCAAGAACCAAAAAAGGGAACAGATTGCCATAAAGTGAGTCAAAGTCAACTTGTTTGTCTGCCATATTGTAAAAGGCCAAGTTCACAGGCAACAGTGATGACATTTCTAAGATACCCCTGCCTTGAATGCTATCCTTTGTCTGTTTGCGTTTATCTCTGTTTGAAGACTAACCCACCCACTTCCCTGTACATGAAACCAACCTCCTTGATTAAACACAGCCATGACCTAATGCCTCAAGACATCCCACCTTCTGCACCATTCTCCACATTCCCAACTCTCCCAATCCTCTGTCGTGGGCACACTAACAAGGCACAGTCAAGTTCAAGTGTTTCACCATCTGTTTTCAGCACAATGATTCAAAAATACTAGTAAGTCTCAAATTATCAGAAACAGACTACTGCCCAAAAGACATTTTTCTACACTTTACACTTTACAGAAGTAAAATGCTATGAAAGATATTTGCAAATTTTTAAGAAAACCTATAGAAAGAAATATTTTTTCTCAAATGTCTACCTCATATTCAAATGGCTCTTCTTGAAGTGAAGGGCTGTTAGAAACTAAAGCCAGCCAGAAATCTTTACAATGTTCCTCCTGACATCTGCTTGGAGGCTAGTCAAACTGTATCCATCTGTGACATTCTGTCATGGCCAAAATATTGCTGTTTCAACCAAGGTTCAAATTGAGAACTTAGTTAATAATACTGTTGGGCTCTTCACCCTTGAGTCCTGATTGTTGCCAGGCACCAGAACTGAAGTCCCATCCTTCCTGTCCTCTTTGCTGATATCCTTCACTTCCTCCAGACAGTCTGAGAACCCCAGACCATTGGTGACAACTTCCAGCCACTTTCAGCAAACTCAACATACAGTAGCATAATGTGGCTTCATACATATTACACACTATGTCAAGGCTACCAGAGATATGGGTAGACAGATAACATGGAGAACTTACCTGATGGAAGAACACTACCCTACTGTGTTGCAGCTGACAGCAAGGTTTCGATGAGGGCATCAGACACAGATAAAGACAGTTGCTGTCTGTCTTCCTTCAACTTTGTGACCAGGGAACAGATTGACTCATGTGCTACATAGTAACATGTACTCTTGGAAACTGAAACCTGCAGGAGTGGACAGCACAGACATGCACCAGGAAAACACATTTGGCATTGGACCTCCCATAGGAAATGTGTTATGAATGACTCATTCTGTCTCTGGGGACCCCATAAGTCTGGCCAGCCAACCCACTGCCCAGCTGGAGGAGGAAGTGCTGTCCATCATTGGGGACATTCCATTTCAATATTGGGGGGTGGGGTGGTTGGAGACTTACAGTACTACTAGACTATCTCCAAGCAGATGTAGGGTTCAGCTTAGTGTTTTACAAATGTTTGAGGCATTTTCTAGTGGTCTTATGAGAGAGGCAAAAAGATACAAACTCAGGCCACTAGAAAGATCTAAACAAGACCTCAAAAACATGCATAAAACACTTGAGCCAAACCCCACATCTACTTGGAGATCAGCCAGAAACAGCTATTGAATCATCCAATTGGTTATCATTGATTTCTGGTGTCTCAATAACATTACTGTGCATTCAACAAGTCCCTACAGCCAACGTCCTGTCATTTTCCCTTTCTAATGGAGACATTGTACCTTGTACTTGACTCATTTTATCTCATTTCCAAAGGGAGTGACCATGGAGAAATCTCTTAGGAGTTTTGTAATGTCAGTCTATCTGGCAGCACAGAAATCTCTAGGGATATTCAGTGACCTTACTAATGTATAAAGCGGTATTCCATCTTGGAATTAAGTCATGAATTAAATACCCCTCATTTTTCATCTTGACTGTGACACCTACGAATGGATTATTATGCATTAATAGTTTAATACCGACCGACATAACCCTATACTATGTCTTTCAAAATTACCTTCCTGGACACCTATACAAACAATTTAAACAGAAAAAATTATTCAGGTCCCTACTACAAACATGTATGCATGTATAACCTTAATAAGTTTGTTGTGCATGAAAAACATCCCCCAGCTACTTGACAATGGAATGACCCTATTGAGAAGTATTTGGCCAGTGTAGTTGGCTCTTTGCCCATTCCCACACAAGCTGGGCTGGACAGATGCCACCTGCATACAAACTATGCCTTCTCTTTGATACATGTGAGTGTGACTTCCTCCCAAGACAGGGACTTCCTCCCCCCAGAAAGGGCAGCTACACAATCCTACCCACCCAGTGGGTGGAATACAGTGTGACAATCATGGCCAATTAGGTCTGGGCTGGACTAATGCAGTTAGTTGTTATTGACCAGGGTTTTTCTTCAAGCACAGATTTTTTTTAAAATCTCTTCAGCAAATCCATGCCTGCCTTCAGGCAGTGATTTTATTACTAAAGTACATTTTTCACATTAAAGATTGGTTAACTGCTAATAATCAAGGGCAAGTACAAAAAGATGACGAAACATCACAATTTTGTCTGTCAAAGTGACAGAATGGCCATAAAGATAATCTTTTAGGCTGCAAGGAAAAAATAATTTTTTTCTACTTTCTTCCTTTCACCCCACACAAAAATAAAACATAAAGAACAATTTGTAGCATTTTAATTTATTATATTTTTATGACCCTCTTATAGACAAACCGTATTATCATATTATCATTATTATTATTTATTATATTTCATATATATTATATATTATATTATCATAATTCACTGTTTACATAGTTTATTAGTTGGCATAATAATAAGCCATTGGCAAAATGTCAAAAGTCAATAAAAGCACACTCTTTTTAAATGTTACAATTTTAGACAAAGCATGAATTTGGATAAAATATCAATTGTGTTTCACTGTGTTTGCTTAACCCAACATTATATCATTTCAAAATGCACTTCTTGATGTATATCTTTCCATATGTTCTGTACATAAATATTCAGTGATATTATATGTATATATGATAAAAACCATCCCTGAATAGATTTTGTAAAATCATCTTGAGAGCTCAACATTTTTGGAACTCTAATCCTAAAAGTATGTTCGATTGATACACAAGAACATGTTAATTCAGAATTCATAGTAAATTATTATAAATATGGATATATTAACACATACATTCCTTTAAAACAAAAGGACACATATTTCAGTTTTAGATGCAACATTACATGTACATATTCTAAAATGCATATTGGATACTTTTAAAGATGGCATTGGGCACCCTCTACATTAGTAAATCATATGTCCTTGGTAAATCATTATTTTAATCAAATTAATTGCACATAATCATACTTACAGAGATTCATAGCTAAGAAAATATTGTATGATGATCATTATGGTGAATGACAATATGGTATTCAATACATTGCATTTTTTTTTAAAAGGACAATACATATTATATTTTTTTGCATGGTTAGGTCATGGCAAATTTGTATCATTTGTCTGTTTTACATGTATTATGTTAAATATATTGAAATTATCTCTGGTCCCTTTTAGAGCTGTTTGTTAGGTTTCTTTCTTATTGTCTCTTTAAAAAAATTTTTTAAAGCGCCCTCTCTTTTTGTGACTTAAAATCATTGGACAAGAAGTCTAGGAGAACTTCCATTGAGTTTGAGAATAACAAAGGCATCTGCAATAGGATAATTAAACACTGACTGACTGACTTTTTTCTCACAGTTTAGGCTTGAGCTGTAGTGAGACCAGTGCCTCCTGTACCAGACTGGACGCCTGTTGAGCACATCCCCAGTGAAGGGTGACCCCAGATCCACCATGGCCATAGTTGTGCACAACCTGATAGAAGGAAAAACAACTTGTGGATGAACATTTATGCTGAACTAGAAAGGTAACATTTGCAAAGCAAATGCATAATGTTTACCTTTGCATATGGTCTACTCTGTTAATTCTTACTCAAACACGTTGACTTCATATATAGGATGACAGGAGTCTAAATCCCTCCTGCTATAAAATTGCAACATGATGTAACCCAACACCAGTTACCATGGTGACAGACGTCTGGTTCAGGTCATTGATCTTATTTGTTTGGAGAAGAAGAAGAGGAAAGTAGTCATTTGGCTACCAATCATCAATTAGATTCATTCTATGCCTGCATTCATTTAACATTCTATTCAGTTATGTAGGTCCCTTTGAAAACCAGCTTGTTCAAAGTCCTAGACCCTGAAAATGCAATAAATGAAATATAAATAGCTTGAATATCTCACCTCAAGTCTGGAGGAACCATTTCCAATTGTCTCTCTCTCCAGCCTGACTTTTGGCCTGTTTGGTCGTAACCCCACCCACTCATGGTCAACTTTGCACTTCTACAGTACACACAGATATGAAAACACACCAAGTCAGTCTTGTTGTCTTATATACTGAAAAAAGGTATATGTAAAACACAAATAAAAAATAGCAGAGTCTAAGAGGAGTGCTCTTGGCATCAGAGTGGCACTAAAAGTCTGTTTCCAAAAGAAAAGGAAAAAACAGTCAAGCCACATTGAGTAGCAGAATTACAGTACACTTAATGTTTCTTGATTTATGTGCTTTAAATCTTAAAACCAGGCCTATCACCAATAGGCTGACACGATGCGTCTTCACATCATGTCAGCCTATTGGATACAGAATCATACAATGTACAAAAATATACCAGTACATCTTTTGTCCCGAAACCTCATAAAATGACTCTACCTAAGGAGGGCACTTTAGCTCTCTCTAGCTCAAAAGTTTGATCATCAAACTTGCACTTTCATCTTGTGAATGTTTTTTTTTACACTATTGATGAAACAACCTGACTGGCATGTCATTTTCTCCACGTATCTGGCCATCAACTATGTGATCTGCTAAACGCGTTGCTGTGTATGTAAATCCTGACATTATAAGGTCAGGTCTTTACCCTCAGGCTTGGCACCAGTTGGCAGCAGCCTTCCCAGATGTCTTTGCTGTCAGTGGGATGTGGGCTGAGGTTCCAGTTCCCCTTCTGTGCTGTTCCGCCCAAAACAACATTGTTGGCACTGCAAGAACAGAACGCCAAGGTCAAGCTTTAAAGTTCATACCTACTCCAAGAAAACAATTTAACGGTACCTTCACTTGGATAAGAACTTTAAATGTTCTTTTACCCAATTGTTTTAATTTATACAGCATTATTAAATCCTTTTTGGTGTTTTGTAAGTTTTACTCTAGTGGCAAAGATTATCCTTCAAATACATGTGGAGTAGCCTGGGTACCATCCGGATTTTCGCTCCGCAACGCTAGAAAAAGTGATTTTTTTCGAGCGCTGCGGAGCGAAAATCCGGATGGTACCCAGGCTACATGTGCAGGCCACAATGAGCATTCGATATAATAACAAATCCAGAGAGAGTTTCTATTAATCTCCAAGCTGATCTTTTGGTTACAGGCTGCAAAGACACCCAAGTCAGGTGGTGAAATGGTGACTGGCAAATATACTGCCCTGCCAATTTGATACTGTCTTTGCAGCCACCAAAAGATTAAGTTTCTATGTCATGTTTCCTTTGGATATCTTGAAGAAAATGTGACAAGTATTTTTACAAGAGAAAAGAAAGTATACGTCAAAAACCAGTTCAAATGGTCAGACGTTTCAGGTAGCATCCCCTACCTTTCGTCAGTGACCGTGACTATATATAGACCAGAGGAGAAATGCAGGTTTATAAGCACAAAGCACTGACGTAAGGTAGTGGATGCTACCTGAAACGTCTGACCGTTTCCAAAATCATATCCAGTTGCTTGAGTAACTGCTTTTTGGCATATCTTATTACCTGGATTGTCTAACCTTCACCGATGTAAAAGAAAGGATAGTCATGTATGATAAAAATCATGAGTGAAATTTAACTGATGGAGTACAAGCCATGGCTCCTTACCAAGGTGTGACATAATGGTGTTCATCAAGATCGACCACAAAGTGTTTCACCCAGGGTGCAATGACCTAAGGATTCATATAAACACAGGACAGTTGTAATCAGGTAGTTGAGGGATAATCATCCTTACCAAGGTACGACATAATGGTTGTCATCGTGTGCAATCAGAAAGTGTTTCACCCAGGGTGCAATGACCTAAGGATTCATATAAACACAGGACAGTGATCACGTTCATTGTAATCATTTTCATAGATCACATTCATAACCATGACTCCTTACCAAGGTATGATATAACTGTTGACATCACGTGCTATCAGAAAGTGTTTCACCCAGGGCGCATTGACCTGAGGATTGAATTTCACGAACACAGGACAGTTGTGATGAGGTTGTGAAGACTAGTGGAGGGACAATTTGCCTCATTAAAGGATCATAACTCCACTCACTGACTGGTCACAGAGTCCAACAATCAGGTGTAACATAAATTTATCACAACAAATTTAGCTGCCACATGCATACAACCCAGCAATCAATCAACTGCAAGCATCAGGAACATCCCAGCACCAGCACCAATAATAGCCGACTGAAGTTAGGAACCAAAGTTTAAAATGAACAACTGTACAGCAGATTAAATCTGTGATATTTATGACATACCTGTGATGACATTTGATACAGGTGTTCCAGCCCGTGTGATAACTAGCAGTACTAGCGGTTTTCACACAGGCTTCCAAATGTTCCATAGAATTATTTGAATGTGTGCCAAGTGTGCCATTTTTGATAATTTGGATATCAGACTTCGGTGTTGGAATTGATATTTTTTTGTTTAGGGACAGCAAATTTTGGCACATTTTGAATTGAAAGGTGTGTTTTCTTGGGTGGGTATGACATGAATAAAATGCAACATGGTGTATTCAGATTTCAGAGTATCACCAGAGGTCAGGCTGGTACCTTGGGTGCTACAGAATACGCCTTGTAGTATTATATTCACATGTATAATGCACAATGGTAGTCCTTTTGATGCTGTAAAAAGCTGTTGTGCAGAGGCAATTAAATGTATGTGTATGGATCTGAATGATTCCATTTCTCACACTAAACAAGAAATAGTTCAACCTTAACATCCCACAACACCATTGGATAAGCCTATCTGACCAGTCAATGTAGAGGTATGATCCTTTAATTGGAGATGTAACTTTCACCAGTGTTACAGAACTGCACCTTCTTTTCTTACCATGGAAATATATAGAAATCATGTCCATCATACTCAGCATCATAGAAACATTTGATCCATGGAGCATGTACCTGGTGACAGAGAAATTAGGAGAATACTACAGAAGTGACAAAATAAGTAATACATGTATGCTATGATTGTACTGTACTACATATACCAGGAATGCTGCATGCTCCACAAGTATTGCATTAAATTGTTGTGATCTTGATAAATTAGTAAATCATATCTAGAACATGTATCATAATTTGATCATTCAAGATGTAGTGATGTGTTCCATGCCTTTGTTAGAATCTGACTGCACTACATGTAGTTTACCTTGTAGTTTCTTTTGTAAGTAACTGTTCTAATCATTCTGAATCATGTTGGCCAGTGGCCACAGAAATTTATGATGCACTACACAGGAAACAACTACATGCCCGTAGCCAGGGGGGTTCGAAGAACCCCCCCACAAGGCTAAAAGGTCCACTTTTTTGGTCCACTTTTTTATGTAAAGGTCCACTTTTTGGTCCACTTTTTATGTAAAAGTCCAAGATTTTTCTGGAAAAGATGGACTGGAATCGTAGAAAAACTGTTCCCTTTGTCATTGAATAAAAATTTATCTCCGATTTTTTCTTGAAAATCCTCTTAAAAACGCACGGAATGCCATTTTAGAAGGTTCATTTTTCAAAATTTTCCGGGGGAGCATGCCCCCGGACCCCCCCGAGGAACCTCGCGCCTTCGGCGCTCGCCTCGCGCCTACGGCGCTCGAGGTCCCCTCTAGCAGTGGGACGAACCCCCCCATTCAAAATCCTGGCTACGGGCATGAACTATATAACATTACCAAAAAGAATGATAGTATTCCATATGTGATAAAATCTTGAAATCAGAGTCCACTCAGCTACTCCAGTAAGACCTAATACTTACCCTGTAGACCTGTCCCCTGACCGGCTCAACTGTGTTGTCTCCTACCAACTCTCTGGCCCCGATACCGCAGCAGTTCACCACAACATCATAGTGGTCAGCAAGCTGTGTGGTACAGACATTTTAGGTTGGATGCACCGGTGCATCTACTAGTATTTGACTTTCAATCCCTGTTACCATCATGTCAACATACAATGTATGTGTATTCACTGGACCAGACACAGTAGTCATATATTGCTTTAGGCACAAGTGTTGTCAATATTGGTAATAACTTGCTAGCCCCCTGTGTCAGCCATAATTCTGTTACATGTAGAGCAATACATCTGGAATATGACCTGTGTACATACATGTAATGTATCTAGTACATGTAGTTTATGTCCAGAGTAGATCGCTAGAATATATAGCAGAGTGTAATTAAAATGACATTTGCTCAGATATGCAGTAAGGTAGTTTACACAGACATCATGACCAAAAGTCTATGATGTGATGAGTAGGCTGTAGAAATCACAAACCTTACCTCAGTCAGTGATGTCACCTTCCATTGCTGTACCTTGCCTCCAGCTTTCTTGAATTTCGTCATTAACCAGGGTAAATATTTTCTACCTTCACAGAGCAGGTGAGTAGAGAACCAGCCTGAGCTGAAAGACAATGAACAGACGTTACAGGTACTATTCTTTACACCATCTTCTAAAGTTGCACATGTACAGATGAATGTATTAGTTCAAATCTGTGGTTTGCTGAGGAATAGATTCCAGTCCATTTGACTTGAAGAAATACATGGAATGTGCCAACCTTGCATGCAAGAAGTTGGGGACTGTGTAGATCTTTGTCTAAGATACCCCGTGTATACCTGTTAAATCCCAGTATTTACAAAATTTGTACCTGAAGCCAGGAAACAGTTGCAGCTCTTGCTTGGTCAAGTGACGGAATCCAAAGACTTTGGAAGCCCAGGCAGGATCCTAACAACATAATTAATAGTGACTGTCAGAGCAAATATCTCACAAATAGTTAATTGGGATTTTCATAAACACATTTCCAAGTCTATCAGACACCTTCCTCCAAGCTTCTGGAGTTAACAATATACTACTGCTTCTTGCTGCTATACATGTATGTAGCCAAAACAGTACTTCAGTGAGAAGCTCTATGGAAGGTGTCTGATAAACTTTGAAATGTAAGGTGAGATAAGTACTGATTGGATATAAGAAAATCCCAATCATTATCCTAAAACCACCTTTTGAAAGTATTTTTGGAAGAAACAGTTCATTTCAGATACAGTCAAACCTGTGTACTAGTGACCACCTCTGCATAAGGCCCACCTGGGTAGTGTAACCTGCAAAGTTTTGGTTGTCCTTTCGATTATTTTTTCATTGACCAAAGCATTATCACAATCCCTGTCTGTAGTGAACACCTGTCTACTGTGTCCCTCAAGTGGACACTATAGACAGTTTTTCTCCACTTCAAGCTTTACTAAATGAAATGTTATTACTAGTACCTGTTGAGGCTGTTTATGTACGTGGTAGCCAGACAGCAATGTCACACCAACATCAGCAGAAGCAGGACTCAGATACAGCGTCTTCAAGTGGTCCCAAGTTTCACTGCCCCAATGTCTGTAAACAAAAATAAAAACATTTATTTAGTGTCAATCTTTGACAAAATTGAAAACACCTTAAACCAAGGTCTCCTTAAACCTCCTTGCTTAAACAAAATATAGCATTTACATTAATACACTTTGTAGATGTAAAAAAAATTCTTAGGCCTAACATTTCTGAGGAACCAATTCTATCAGTGTGCACACAGTTACAAACTTCATGCAATGTCATTTCAATATGTGCTTTCCAAGATTCATTTTGAACCAATAAATATATTATGTATACATAATAATTCTATAATATTTGATTCATGACTAAGTAATCAGAGGCATTACAAGATTTTAAAAAATAGCCATTTAAAACTTCATACGACATCTTTTTTAAGTAAGGCATAAACACTTCCTAGTAAATATTTTACAATGTTTATACTAGTTGAACTTGCGTGATAAGCTCTGGTGGTGTATCGTTCAGGATGTATGGTTCCCAGAAGCCAGCTGCCCCATCGCTTGTTGTGTATGGAGAGAACTTCTCGGCCAGAACTGTGACTTGGACACCGGGGACTTTCTGTTGGATACGGACAGCGGAGGACAGGCCGATCACCCCGGCACCTACCACACACACACGCTGGGCCATGCTGGGACTGGTACTGGAGATGACTTGGTGATAATCCCAAAGTTTGGTCAGGAGGAGACTATTCTACATCACAACTGCCAAGGAGGTTTCACACCGTGGGCAATATAAATGTGTCTGCAAATCCCTCGGGATAGCTTCTGTAACCAAAGAATGAAAGATGAGAAAAAATACATGTACAGTGCTTTAAGACTGAAAATCATGTTGGACTGCTGCGAAATACTTGTAACGTTAGGTAGAAACACTTGATAGATCTATAGACTAGACATTTTTACCTCTTTATAATTAAGTGCAATGTACCTTGCCTTTTGGTGCAAGTTTGCAAATAAATTATAATTTGATAACTTTAAGGTTGATGAACCCATTGTTTCCCATGTTGACATCCCTGATGACCAGTCTGAATAACAGTTATGGATTGATTGATGAATTGATTAGTTGACTGATGGGTTTACGGAAAAAGGAGTCCAGTCCGATTGGCGGAAAAAGCAGTTCAGTCCGATTTTGGGGTGGAAAAAGCAGTCCGGTGGTTTCTACGAAATTTTACGAAAGACCATAGGCACAATTTTTTCTTGTGTGTGTACTTCTAGTTTCTATGGGTACTTCGAGTTTCTATGAGTACTTCGAGTTTCTATGGGTACTTGGAGTTTGTATGACTATTTAGAGTTTGTATGGGAACTTGAATTAGCATATATGTGACTCACTATATGCCGCCTTAACCCGTAATTCAGGCAGCCTTGGGTGAGGAGTAGCGGACAACCGATTTACACCTCTTGGGACCACCGAAAAGTAGTTTCTATACATACAGGTCACCTATCCACAATAAACAAAAGTTAATTATTAAGGGATTCTTTCTTACAATTGTACTTCCGGTACTTACATGCTTGTCGGTGTAATGCAAAGTCTGCCATATGTGGCTTTAGCAGGGGCCGACTGGATGTTGGGCAGCTGGCAACCGTAAAGCGATTTAATCAGGCTACTTGCAAGCAGGATCGGCCCTGGAAATCTCGTCAGTTGACCGCTTCATCTTTTGACTAATTATTATTACTTATATGTAAGTAATAATCCGGAGGCATGATGATGATATGTAAGTTACAAACTCTAAGTTCCCATACAAACTCTAAGTACTCATAGAAACTCTAAGTACCCATAGAAACTCGAAGTACTTATAGAAACTCGAAGTACTCATAGAAACTCGAAGTGCCCATAGAAACTAGAAGTACACACACAAGAAAAAATTGTGCCTATGGTCTTTCGTAAAATTTCGTAGAAACCACCGGACTGCTTTTTCCACCCCAAAATCGGACTGGACTGCTTTTTCCGCCAATCGGACTGGACTCCTTTTTCCGTAAACCCTTGACTGATTGATGTATTGATTAGTTGACTGACTGATTGACTGACTGATTGATTGATTGATTGATTGATTGATTGAGCTCTTTCAATACTTCATGTGGACCAGCTCTTTCAATACTTCATGTGGACCAGTGAATCCCTCTTTCCACTGAGGGTAACTGTTTGGCACCAAATTATTGGACTATGACCTGTGGGTTAAAGAGATAAATAACACAATTACCTCTCTGATCTCATTTTAATTAATCAGATTAAATACACTAACGGAAAAGTGGCGAACTCGGGGCCCCCTCCGTTACTGGTCTACTTTGTATTAGTAAAAAGAATCCCTATCATAGACACGACAAAATCAAGAAGTTCTCTACCTCACTCCTCTGGTTTTTGTTGCACTAAGGGGCTTTCATCACAAGAAAACAAAAGCTCCTTGGTTGGACCTCTGGACCATGACCAGCTGGCTGGAGAAAGTGACACTGACCTGGAACTGACCCCGTTAGGATCATTCCATTAAAATATAAGAACGGGGTACAAAACTGAATAACAGATTCCTTGAAACTATTTCAGAGACTATAAGAAAGTATAGAGAGTATGATTTCGTCAAATGCTTGTGGTATTTTCAGTAAAAGTTAAATCATTTGAACATTTTCGTAACATTTATTATTAGACGTTAACTATAAACTGTAACTTTTTTTTCAATGGAATAGTCCGCATTGCGAAATAGAAGGCGTTTCCATCATCATCATCATCATGGCGGCGCTCAGCAAGATTTTTGCCGGCTCGCAGTTCAACAAGACAAACTCGGCGGTTGCCGTGGCCGTCGTGGCCGCGATCTACTGGGCTTCCTCGCGGAAGGGCAAGAAGGCTTCAGAGAGCGGCAGCAGGTCGGTGTGAGGCCGTGGATTCTACCACGTTTCTGTCTAGAAGTCGGTGCAACGATCAGCTCAAACCGGCCAGTTGCATCATAAAAAATTATACATGTAGTACTAGTAGATACAACTGCAGAGCGTATCGTAGCTAATATACAGCTTAGTTAACTGAATGTTGAGATGGTAACATTTCACAACAATAGAATTATATCACTCAATTCGGTTTTGACCAAAATTTGAGTCTATCAGCTTCAGACTCATCAGAGGTTGACCTCTGCGTGACCTGAATGATGATGACCCTTGTGCTTTGTTGTAAACTTTTAAAGCCTTATTGTAAAGCCTCATAGTTTAGAGAAAAAGGACCAAAAGCAAGATTTAGATTTAGATGTTGTCCTTGGTGTTTTTCCTTAGTAAGAAAAGAAAACTTCAAGTTGGGCACTAGTAGTTGTCTTTTATGCTTTCCCCTAGTCATGGCGTGTAAGGTGATTGACCTACAGGATGTTGACCTTTGTAGTTTGGTCCCACTTACACACACAATGGTATACAACTCTACCCAACTTACCTCTTCATATTATAATACACATGATGGGGAGAAGTACTTGTTAAACATTGCGATTAAGACTGCCAGTTGTTGTTGGAATGATGAGTAATACTAGTATACCTGATGATCTCAAAGGAGCTCTTTTCCTTTGAAATAAGATTGCCACGATAGGTGCATACTGTGTGGTAATTTTTCACTTTTTGACTTTAACAGAAAGCTCCCAGATGTCCCACTGGTGATTGGAGAGCAAGGAGAAAAGAAAGAGAAAGCAGCAGTAGATGGAGTTTTTCTTAGGTAAGATTCGTTATACCCATTGATATGTACAGGTGTCATATTGTATTACAAATGTACTTCTGTTGGATGTTGCTGGTTGTCATTCTTACGTGGACATGTAATTTATGTAATTCCTGAGTCTGAAAATGAGTGATAGAAGTCATATGATCTCATATTGCTTTAATAATTTCTTTTTACAGGAGGATATACCAAATACTGAAGATCCTTGTACCAAAGTTTTTCTCTCCTGAGGTAAGGGTATTGTGTGTAATTCATGTGAGTGTATATTAACCATAGTATCAATCAATAGTCCGCGGGCATCATGGTCTGATGCATGTTCGATAAAATTTGTTACTGCTGGCATTATAAAACCTTTAGATTAATTATATATTGTTAAATGAATTCAGCATGGTGAGTGATGTATGTTATGTTGCTAACATGTATTGTTGTTGTTTATGATGGTGTATAGGTTGGGTACATAATCCTGGTGGCATCCATGTTACTGGCTAGGACTTACTGTGATGTGTGGATGATTCAAAATGGGACTGCTATTGAGAGGTAACTACACTGGACTGTAAAAACTTAAATTTGGTTTCACTTAATTGATCATAATGTTAGATTGTAGATACTATTATGAGGTAATACTAAAGTAATCAAAGTCACTTACACACTCGACGTCTGTTTTTACATGCATTTTGGGTATTATGTGTTTTGTAGTAAATTCTACCATGCCTAGTTTCCATCAGACATAGTGGAAGAGGTTTGCCATTTCATAGTGCTTTAGACTAGTTGTGGTTATCATTGCTTTACATTACTATAATTCTTCTTGTAGTGCTATCATTGGAAGAAGTATCCCGCTGTTCAAGAAGCATCTCTTCAGCTTCATCTACGCAATGCCTGCGGTAAGTTTTTGTGCCCCATATCAAACCTGAACATTATATATCAAAACAGTTCATATTTTGTTAGACAGGCAAGTCACTCATCAGTTATCACTGTAAATTTAAGTGCATATTTGATTGATTTTTCAGCCATGAAATATGATCAATTTTCATGCATTGCAGTCGACCAATAATGATGCTAACATACATGTCAATTTTTCCTTGCGTAGATTTCTCTGGTCAACAACGTCCTCAAGGTGGGTAAATCAAACTGTTTCTATTTTGCTTTTGATGTTTTTTTATTTTATTTTCCCATTCTGGCCAAAGCAGGCATGGTAAATGTATCTTTCAATCAAGTAGTAAAAGTCCTTTTATTCTCAAGACCACTTTTGATTCCAATCCCTCTTGCCCTGTATGGAAACTTAAACTTTTGTCTGCTATTTTACAGTATGGTTTGAACGAGTTGAAGCTGAGATTTCGTACCAACCTGTCCAACCATCTGTACAGTCAGTACCTCAGGTAAGTAATTATGACGTCTGTAGGTTTTGCATTTGTCTAAAAAAGAATGACAATTATCAAAAGTCTCATTGTCTGAGACTCAAAGTTCCAAAAATAGCATATCTACTAAAAATGAATGAGTGTATGTTAAAAAGAAAGAAGCAAATAAAAGTAAAAAAGCAAGTCATTTCCATGTGCCTTTATGAAGCTGTAAGTAAGGTTGAAGTTGCGCTACATTTTCTCCAGGAGTTTCACCTACTACAAGATGACAAATCTGGACAACAGGATTGCTAACGCTGACCAGCTTCTGACTCAGGATGTGGAGCGTTTCTGTAACTCAGTAGTTGACCTGTACTCCAACCTCAGTAAGGTGGGTATAACCATGGTTGTAGAATTAGATATTGTGCTATACTGTTAAAATGCCTCTCTAGTCATTATCCACAACATCATGTACTGAAGCCATTTCTCTTTGCTGACTGATGGTGAAATGATTAAATCCTTATCCTACCAGTTTGTTGATTGACTTGGAATGCCTACTTACTCACTTATCATTTACCTGCATATACTGTTATATATTTGATACATATTATATGATTTAGTTATAATGCGGCTTATTTTAGTCTACCTTATTACTCTTATGCTTTGCATGTCTGTATTTGTGACTACATGTATATATTTTTGTAACGATGACGACACAAACATAAGCATTGTAGCTTGAGTATGTCGTCATCCTGTCTTGTTACTAAATGTTATAATAAATAGATTAAATGAAGGGACAGATGAACAATCAAATGGATGATTGAACAAACAGACAAATGATTGCAACTTGCTGGTATTGCAACTTAATTTGAAAAAAACCCTCAAAAGTTCACATTTCAGTGTGCTCGCCAAGTTCATACTCCAAAATTACAGAAACTTCAGAATCTGTATTCTTGTGTTTAACTCAATAATTTTTTTTCTGTTTGTGCAGCCGATAGTTGACATTGTGATCTATGTGAAGAAGCTGACAGGCAGTATTGGTGCCCAGGGGCCGGCCTCCATGTTAGCCTACCTGGTCTTCTCAGGACTCATTCTTACGAGGTAACAGTCCTGGGGTTTTGCCTCTTCATTTAGGCATTGTTTAAAAGAAATATCTTGTCTTTCCATTGGGCTTCTACCTAGGTCTAGGACATCAATTAACCAACTTTCTATTGGTTACTGTACGTGTGTTAGGTACCAGGAAGAGGTTTTAGGAATTCTGAAAAGTAGCTGGGCAGTGAAGCAATTTATATCTAGATAAAGAATCTAACTAAAGGATGGCAATCCAGTTAATCAGAAATGGACTGACAGAATGTATTCATGTAAGATTTGAACCTTGTTGTAGGTTGCGACGTCCCATCGGTAAGATGACAGTCCAGGAACAGAGATACGAGGGAGAGTTTCGCTACGTTAACTCCAGGCTCATCACCAACAGGTGAGTACACATTTTTTTAGAACATAAGTGGCTCGGGTAAAAAGTTTCCTGTACCGGTGCAGCTATGTAGATATATGTTTATGTCCACTAAAGTCAGGGTCATGTTTTCAAAATGTACATGTACATGTACTAGGTTTTTCTGTTGCTGTTGTTTTATTGTTTCAGACACATACATGTAACTTGACAACCTGTTTTGTGTTGCAACAGTGAGGAGATTGCATTCTATCAAGGGAACCAGAGAGAGAAGGCTACCATAGAGCTGTCATTCCAGAAACTGGTCAGTACCTTAAACTTTGCCTGAAATCCTTATATAATGTCTCTCTAAGCTCGACGTGCAGAAATTGATCCATAATTCTAGAAGTACTTGATAACTATGGTAAGTTTTCACCCAGAAATGACTGAACAATTTCTGTTTCAGATCGAGCACTTGAGGACGTTCATTATTTTCCGTTTCTCCATGGGATTTGTGGATAACATCATCGCTAAGTGTGCGTATCCCTTTCATTCAGTAGAAGGAAAGCCTTTCAATACTGTGCCCTATAGACAAAATTGGTCATTAACCTACTTCCCTTATGGTCACAAAATGGCTATGGGACTACATTTACCATAACTTTAACTTAAGGGATGAGAAATAAACAAACAAACTAGAAAGGTAACATTTGCAAAGCAAATGCATAATTTTTACATTTACAATCTTTTCATATTGTCTGCTCTAGATCTGTTAATTTCTTACTCAAACACATTCATATACTGAGTATATGGTGACAAGAGTCTAAATCCCTCCTGCTATAAAATTGCAACATGATGTAATCCAACACTAGTTATCATGGTGATAGACAGTCTGGTTCAGGTCATTGACTTTATTGGTTTGGAGAAGGAGAAGAGGAGACAGAGCAAAAACAATATATTTTCCTTTGGCAAACATAATGAGCATGTATTGGAGTCATTTGGATCCTAGTACATGTACTTGTATTCGGATTTGTCACAAGAATCCTCCATTATTTTCTTGTAAGAGAATGAGTGTGGCCTTGTATCTGTTATTTTCCCCTGGCAGATGTTGCTACTGTGGTGGGTTACCTGGTTGTAAGCCGCCCCTTCCTGGACCTGGCCCACCCCAGACATCGGCACAGCTCTCACAGTGAACTGCTGGAGGTAGGGGCATGTGTGACTTGTCTCTAGAGTTTGCATGTCATCCATTAAAGACATCCAATGCAATTTCAGGGCAGCAAAACTAGAAAATTCTGGACGAGCAAATCTGTCTGATATTGACATTTGCTGTCATTTCCTACATGTAGGACATTTCGTCATCATTTCATACTTGAAATGTTGGAAATACATGTAGCCTCAAAAGAATACACCTGAGGAGTCTCCTTTTTTTTGGGGTACCACCAATAAATAGCTAGATCCAGCCATAACATGATTGCCTGTTCCTAACTTCCACAGGACTACTACAAGAGTGGACGTATGCTGGTGAAGATGGCTCAAGCCATCGGCCGGATTGTCCTGGCTGGGAGGGAGATGACCAGGCTGGCCGGGTACCTCTCTTTTTTTCTAAAAATGCCATGAAAAAGTTTCTGAAATATAGCTCTTGAAAATTCTGATGACACATGTACAAGTTTTCTGTGAATGGCAGTTTTAATTGTGAAAATCTATTCAAAATGATAGTTTGTCACAACTTCCTTGATAGAAATTTTGCTGTTTGTACATTACAAATAAAATAAATTCTACCAAGTCTTCACCAAACTTCCTGGGCCAACTGGAGGTCATCCATGCTGAAAATAGAACAGAGATGTCTACAGCTGCCATGTGAATGTTGGACATTATAAATCATTGTGCTTCACCTTTTTCACACAGGTTCACAGCCCGTGTGACAGAACTAATGAAGGTTCTGGGTGATCTGAACAAGGGGAAGTATGAGAGAACCATGGTGTCTGCACAGAACAGGGACAGGGCCGAGCCAGAGGTGCCCCTCATCCCAGGCAGTGGAACTGTCGTGGAGCAGGACCATATCATCAAGTACGGTTACTATCATGAAAGTTCATCTGTGTTGGTAGTTACATTGGATCCAACACAAAAAAAGTTCTCTCACCTAGAGCTTTCGACCACTCTGGCCTTCCTCAGTGGACTGACCCAGATACCTTTGACCCAGTGTTGATGTCACACTTCAAAGAAGCCACGTGACAAGCCTCACTGGGTCAGTCTACTGAGGAAGACCAGAATGTCTGGTCAAAAGCTCTAAGTGAGAGAACTTTTTTATGTTGGATCTAAAGTTTTAACTTTAAATAAGTACAGTTGTCCTTGTGATTGTTATTTGTCATCATCATCAGTCCAGATTACTTATAGATACATATTATAGACCAAGTCCATTCTAGCACTCTAGTCATTACAATTTTAAGGTCCTGTAAGTCTCCAAAGTCTTCTAAGGCCTCAAAAATTACACTGAATGTTCTTGTCATTTTTCCATGTAGGTTTGAGCATGTGCCACTGGTCACGCCAAATGGGGATGTGCTTGTCAAAGACCTTACATTTGAGGTAAGAACTTGTTACATCGTGATTCACTAATACTTTACTATTTTTCACGATGCTGACGTACATTTGCCACGATATCGATAATGTTACTTTTTTTATATGTTTTGTACCCCTAAAAATTATGATATGTTTTGAAATGGCATCCACCAGTCAGTGATATGTCATCAGCCGTTTCGAATGGCATCTACCATTTATGACACAGAAACACACTAGATACTATTGAAAGATAATATCCTCTTGCCCCTCTCCCCAGGTGAAGTCAGGAGTGAATGTTCTGGTGTGCGGGCCGAACGGATGTGGGAAGAGTTCCCTCTTCAGAATACTGGGAGAGGTGAGAAACAGGATATTTTAAAAACATTATGTACATCTCCAGTTGTGTCAACAGTCACTGCATCATACATTATGTTTGGCCTCATAAAATGTAGTTAACATTGAAAAGCTTGCTGGTCAGTGATCTACCATGCAACCTTTTTAAAATACATGTATTTCTCATTACCAGTAGGCATTGTTAATACATTCTTATTTTAAATCAATTACCTATATTTTTGTTGTATTTCAGCTGTGGCCTTTGTTTGGTGGAACCATGACCAAGCCAAAGAACAAGAAACTCTTCTACGTACCTCAGGTACAAAATCATCCGGATCCTAGTATATAAAGATAAACTACTGCTATCTCTCTAATCACACTGAGTTTTTAATCTTTGTCATCACAGCATACTGTCTACAAAATCTGTTGACTGTGTGGTTACTGTAGTGACTTTGCATTAAATTTGCCATGAACTATGTTGTGTGAGAGATTGCAGCTATGAAAGACAATGAAGGCCATCACAACATCGAACATCTTAACAAATGGCCACAAACTGTCATGTCTTTCAGCGGCCGTACATGACTCTGGGCACCCTGCGAGACCAGGTTATCTACCCTGACACTCTACAGGACATGAAGAAGAAAGGCTTCACTGATGAACAGCTACTGGCACATCTCAAGGAGGTAGGGGACGTTTTCTGGGTCCTCTGAGTTTTTATTTCTGTTGTCCTTAGTCAGGGTAGACCAGATCTTTATGTTGACCAAAGGAAAACAAATTGTTTTTGCTCTGTTTCCACTTCTTCTTCTTCAAACCAAAAAGGTCAATGACCTGTTGCCTTGGTAACTAGTGTTTGGTTACATCATGTTGCAATTATATAGCAGGAGGGATTTAGACTCCTTTCACCATATAAATTATAATATGAATGTGTTTGAGTAAGAATTTACAAAGCAGACCATGTGCGAAGGTAGCATAATACTTTTCTAGCGGAGTTTGCATTGCTTTACAATATTGTCCCGAACTTAATTACATACTCTACATGACTGGCTGGTGTTCCCCTGGGTTCTACAGGTTCAACTGGAGAACATCCTGGAGCGGGAGGGGGGCTGGGACGCCGTACAGGACTGGATGGATGTGCTGAGTGGAGGGGAGAAGCAGCGAATGGCGGTAAGTTCTTAAAGTAGATGGATCTATAGTAATGTCATCATCATAATTATAATATGTCCTGATAGGCTAGATAATTACTGCTATTCACTATCTTAGACTGTAGAGTCTAGAAATATCCATTTGGTGCATGTCAAAAATTTAGCCCATTATAGACAAGGAAATCGTTTGGTACATGTCAAAAAATTTCAGTGCAAAGTCATAATTGTACTGCAGTAACTGTATATAATGCTTGTCTGTATTAGCATGGATGACGTACATGTATGTGCTACTTGTATATGATGTTACAACTGACAGCACAGATTCTAGAAATGTACTTGTGAATGTAAAAACTAATGACATGACAACTGTTGGCTGTCTGTGTGTATGTGCAGATGGCCCGCCTGTTCTACCACAAGCCCCAGTTTGCCATCCTGGATGAGTGCACGTCTGCTGTGAGTGTGGACGTGGAGGGGTACATCTATAACCACTGCAGGGAGGTGGGCATCACTCTCTTCACTGTGTCCCACAGGAAGTCTCTATGGACCCACCATGAGGTAATTATTTCATGTACAAAGGTTTCTTTGTGTGTCAAGACATTATTTGAACAGAATAGATTCAGATTTATTGCAGTCAACTTACATGTTACATTTACATGTTAGCATGAAATCAGTTGATAATTACAATTAAAACATTATCTATAAAGTAGGAAGCAGAGGGTGGATTAATGGCGAGAACATTGCAAAGCTGAAGTCACTCTGTCCGGTCAGTCACAAAGACCGCGAAGTTAGACATCTTAAAAGTAGACTTGGCAAGTGCGCACTTTGTGCATCTTATGCAATCTATTGTGCCAGAAACACGCCTGCTTGGGAATGCACTTCAGGATTGTTCTACTGTAGATGTAAAATTTAGCTGCTGTCTTTTTAAGAACTCTAAATTGTAATTGTTATATAATGTACCCGTAATTATAATTATATATGGCAATTTTTTTAATAGAGAACGTCTGTATGTCCGATGCACACAGTGACTAGTATATTGTATTTTTGTCTGTCCACCTTGCGTCCTCCTCTTGTTACCTAAACATGAGACAAAGGATTGTCCTAGGTTTTTAGCTATGTATTTAATATGTCATTCATCTTGTATGGAATAAAGATGATTTTAACCCCCCTTACATATTGAGATCACAAGCAATTGTACAAACATGTGAAAAGTGACTAAAAACTAGTCATCTCTATGACTATCAAAAGCAAGCTATGTAATATTAAATTAGCTCTTATTGTATAGCTTCAGAGCTCTGGGAAGGAAGTCACAGGAAGTGAGGTTGAAATGGTGTAACCACAGGCTGACAGAAGGATGAATCATCTTTACATATGCACATGCTAGGCACTTTGGTGACTCTGACAAAAAAATAGACAAGAAGTTCGGTAAAGGATTCCAGGTGCCAATAGTATGGTACAGCTTAACAATGACGATGATTTCCTTTGAACAGTATCATCAATCTGTAAGTTAATGGATAAAGTTATATAAGATTTAAACTTTAAAAAAACATTTGTGTCTTTCTTCTTTTCAGTTCTATCTGCACATGGATGGCAGGGGGTCATTCGAGTTCAAGCCTATTTCAGAGGACACCGTGGAATTTGGGTCTTAAGTTTTTACATGGCAAGGACAAGAAAATGTATCAAACAGCACAAGGATGTTTCATGTTGATTTTTAATACTCTGTAATTTTATTTCATGCTGTTTTACTTGATTTAATAGTACGGAATATTACAAGTATGCACTTTTGACTGTAACAATTATTTTGAAGAGTAAATGGCATACTAGTAATCAGTAATACAAGAGATAAGGGAACTAGAGCAATGTTTTTTACCAAATATCTCTAGTCTTGTTTTGTTTTGGTATACAACCTACACATATCATTCCTAGGTGATAGTTTTTTTTCCTGTATGCTGTATGGCATGAAATGCTTTCATTGTGATTCACACAAATTTCATAGCCTGACTAGAGCTTACAGCCCCTAGACTACCAATGAGCCCCCTTAGGCTCATTGGTTGATCACAGCTTACATTTTCTGCAACCCCTCAAATATCCAGAGTAAAATTTTAACGACAGCAAGTAACTCCAGGCAGTTGATGAATCAGATGCAAAGCAGATTGAGTAAACCTGTAATAGTGTGATGTATTCAATCATATATCAATTTTATTTGAGAAGTACAGGCAAGGAACTTAAATATTAGCTCCTCAGTACAGGTAATGTGAATAAGTCTATTTGATAACCTTGCATTAACCAGGGTTTGCAACATATTGTACATCTCTAATTAGACACATGTAGACATATATATTTGTATATATGGCCCATGTTCAAAAATACTGAAAGTATGAATGCTGTAAAATTGTACTTGAAACTTATGTTTTCCTAAATCCATGTTTTCTGATGTTGTTCATTTTGCATACTTGTGGCATTAACTTAATTGTTGAAATCTTCATTATTTTTATACCTCTAAGCTTGAAAGTCAGTGAGAGGGTAGGATGAATTTTAGCCTTTATAGGCTTTAGAGTCAGGCCATAGAGTAATGGCTAATAAGGTTAGTAGACCTGAGGTTGAGGAGTCAAAAGTATGATTTTGGCTGGACATTGTGTCCACGACACGACTTGTGTAAATGGTTTGTTGAAAAGGTAAAAGGTGGAAGTAAAAGAATAGGCTCTACTTTCACTGTCATACCCATCTAACAACAACCCACTGGTTATTCCAATAACCGACCACTTTTGAAGTTACGGCCTGATAACCAATGGGAAATGGAGCCTTCTGATTGGTCGATGTCTTCTGGCTATATGATAATATGAGGTTTATATAGAGTGAAAACAAAGAGAACAAGACTCAATCCCTTGTTTTATGCATTTCCCTGTAAAGACATAGCACAGATAAAATGCCCAAAAATGTGTGAAGATATAAAATACAGATTATTGTGCCTCTTGATCATGAATAAACAATGTGTACAAATAATGTATGTTCCTGAATTCTGTACATGTTATGTTATCATGTGTTAACCTCTACCAGGCTTCGGGAGGCGGTTGAAAAAAGTAGAAATCGGCCAAATAGAGAGAACTCCCCTGGCATGCTATCTCTCTTATTTGGCCGATTTCTACTCTTTCCAGTCGCCTCCCGAAGCATGGTAGAGGCTAATCATGCATAAGAATTTGCTCCAAGCATTTTGTTTCTGTACATACCTACTGAATTCGAACCTCTCATTGCAAGTATTGTATCCATGATTACAACGGATCGAAATAATCCCCCAAGGAGGGATAACGATGGTTTGATAAGAATTGATTTCTGCTTTGCCAGACCCAAACTCATCTTTCTGGATTAGAGAGGGCCATTTCATCTAGGGGGTCATGCAAAAATGGAAAATTAAGTGCAATATTGGTAGTGGTCCGTACCTCGTCCTGTGATCACGTTGACAAATCACAGAACAGCAAATAAGCTTAGTGCGTATGTAACAGTAGGGGGTTTATAGGCACTACCAACTGACCCGGCTGATGGGTCTAGACCTTTTAGCCGATTTGGTAGGAGCGTCAGATTGTAAGCTGGCCCCCGGGGGCCGTGGGTTCGATCCTAGCCCGGGGCCAGGGGTTTTTATCTGTTTCTACTCTCCTATTCTTGCAAGACGGAAAATCTACGAAGTAAATATGAACAGTGTGTTGATATACCGCGTTGTAACAGAGGATCAATGCACAGACGGTGACGGAAAAAGGTAAACATTGATGGCAAACAGGCTCTACAAACAACCGCCAGAAGAGCACAGGTGAAAGGTTATAGGTCTGACTCTTTCTTTGTTGTGTCGTTAATATTTTACAAGATAGTCTAGGGAAGACCGTAACGTAAGGAACTCGCCAGCTCCAAGACATGTTAACGTTAGACGCAATGCTGAAACAGGGGTGGGACTTAAGGTTGTAGCTATGCAGGTTCTCTGGAGACAGATGATCACAGGAACGTTGGTTCTTGTAGTTGTGAACACGCTGGTCGCCTTTATTTATTTATGGCGGGACGCACGATGCCCGTTGAGCCGGCGGGAGCAAGCCCCAATATCCCGGCCTCCGTTACGACCCTGTGTGGTGTCTAGAGACCAAACGGAGGACGGACTATCGACGATACGAAGAACGCAGAATATTTCACGAACGTTCTACGATGAGTGTGTGATGGTGAGGAAACTTCGGCAAGACGAACAGGGCAACGTACCGTTTGTGACGAGGACGGCGTTTCAGCAGTAAGCACCTTTCATGTTCCACAAATCAAGTTTAAGTTTAAACTGGTTTTACACATTGGGCTGTAACTGTTATGGCTTTTGTTAGATCATAACTTTATATAGGTTCAAACATTTCCTAAAAGAAATCCTTATCTTATGTTTGTTGTTCACAGGACATTGTCGCAAGTTGGAGCACAACACAGCTGCAACCAAAATGACGCTACACAGCCAGCTAGAATTGTCTTCGGGTCTCGCTGGAAAGAGATAAGAGAAAGACGCCATGTTGCCAAAAACAGATACAACAACAGGTGAATATAATGCCATTTGCTTTTAAACAAAAGATAAACATTAAAGCATCGCTGTAGTTAATACATTGTACCAGTAGCGGATACAACATTTAGTACCTTAAGTTTGTGCCTCCAACAAGTAATTATCCATCTCGATCGAATGCATGTCAGTTTCAATACAATGTTTCCACCATAACAGATTGTACCGACGATGTACATGCATTTGTGCATGCTTACTTATATCTATCCACATAACTATACATACAGAACTGTACATTTCCAAGAAAGCCGCCAGTACGTTGACTCGTGGTCTCCCCTGAGCTACCCGACAGGTCTGAGGGTCAGTCCGGGGAACATCACCAAACTGGAAGGTAAGGAGCATAACGATAAAGAGAACGGCATTTTTCATGCAAGATTTCTCGTTTTCACTTGGTTAAAATATTCCTGGTTGATTTTGCCAACCTGTAACGTTATAACAACATCTTAATTCCCAGGTATTCGAGTTGCTTGGCTTGACGAATACATCAGCGACGCGTGGCTTAAAGAGGTATGAAAGCCTAATACCAATTTTTAACTGTCAACAATCGTGATAATGACCCAATCACTACGGCCGATTCATTGGAAGCAAACACCGTCCTTAGATCTACTTGTGTTGATTTCAATGATAGAAAAATGCTCATTAATCCTTTTTGCATGTTAGCTACAATTTCATAGGATATTATATGTCATTATAGGACAGGATATTACATGTCATTATTGCAGCGACACATGTGCTGCAGTGCAATGCTCTGAGGAAGGTGACAGATGGTCACCGAAACGTCGGCTGAATAAAAGACTTGGTTGTGTAAAAAGGTTCTTTACTCAGTGACTTACCAACCTGATGAAACTATTCACGGATATTATATATCTCTTCTCTGTATCATAACACTTCTCACCGTGGCTATCTAACAGGTGAGATTATCTTGTCATCTGGGCTCTCTGGTGTTCAGCGCCGAAGTCCCGGATGTGACAGTGACTGGAGACAACACCAGTGACGTCACTGTGTCTTCATTCGACATCCATCACCTAAATCGGCAGTTAGAGTTTCTGTACTACCACAGTGTGTCGGAGAAAACTCTAGCAAGGGACGAAGGTGTGTAGCACGTACCGGAGAAGCTTTCGAGTTAAATAAAGGCTTACTTACTTACTTACTTACTATATGTAACACGTTACATGTGTATTATTATTTCCTTGTAAGAAATTTATGCACAAGCAACATTTATCCTAATAAAGCACAAATATCATACACCGTTACTACTAGTATGAATATCAAACACTTTTAATTGTTGCAGCACAGATTGAAATTGTGTATGACACTCATCTGCGAAATAGAATAGATATCTAACAATTTCTTCGTTTCAGTTCATGTCCAGTTCGGGTCCCACAAGGCTACTATCGCAATAAGGATCCAACATTTCCCGATGTTCCACTTGTATGACCACGGAGAAGGTCGGTTCCCTTCAGTGAAAAGTTCCGTTCTGTGAAAAATTAATATCATCTGCGCGTCTTTTTAAAAATATCTTTTAAGAAAAAAAATTGGGAATTTCGTTCTTTCCTCTTTTTCAGACAACTTTGTCAAAGACAGAGTTACCGTGATCACCAAAACCTACCTGCGCTACCCCGTGTTGAGAAAACTCATCGACTCAGTGAACAAGTACTTCTCCGGGGTAAAGATTATAGTGGCAGACGACAGCGACAAGTTCGAAGACCTCAGTGATTATAAGAATGTAGACCACTACAGAATGCCTGCTCAGAAGGTGTGTTAGACAGTGAGATAACCGTTCTGCACTTAGTGTTTGTGTGATTTGTGATGTCATTTTTGGAACGTACTTCGTTGGATAGCTGCAAACCCACAACAGTTCGTAGTTATAGCGTTTCAGTACCAAGGACAGGTCCACAACAGTGCGTAGTTGGAGTGTTTCACTTTCAGTACCAAGGACAGGTCCACAACAGTGCGTAGTTGGAGTGTTTCACTTTCAGTACCAAGGACAGGCCCACAGAAGTTCTTAATAACTATCAGGGATAGGCACACAGCAGATCTCGAAAATTTTGTTTCAGCGTCATGAAAAAGTCAATGAGTTGTCGATAGTCTTTCCCCTGATGTTTATTACAATAAGTGTTGACTATGTTCCACATTCCAGGGTTGGTTCGCCGGTCGCAACCTAGCCTTGTCCCAGGTCACCACCGAGTACTTCTTCTGGCTCGATGACGACATGGTCTTTACTGAGAAGACGGACTTGAAGTTTATGATGAATTTCCTGGACGAAACAGGATATCACATTGTGAGTATTAAGATGTCTGCTTAATCTGCTTAAGATATAAAAGAAGAAGGCTTGAATCTTCCAACATGACTTATGGCAATGCATGATCTGCGCAAGGATTTATCCCCTGGTAGCTCATTTGACAAGTAACTTTATAGTGGGTACCAGTGACTGCTGAATTAGTTCATTATTATCATAAACTCATTATCATTATAGGTCGGAGGCCGTCTAGAAGACAGCGAGCTAACCTTCGCACAGAGGTACGACTATGTCCCATCTAACACGGACGACGGCGGCTGTCTCAGCCGAAAGGAGGGGTCATACAAGGTCATCCCCGGCTTCCCGACCTGCACTTCTACCGACATCGTGCTGAACGTGTTCATGGGAGAGACGCAGACGGTCCGGTCTGTGGGGTTCGAACCCAACCCTGTTTACGCGCGAGCCGCCCACAGCGGTACGTTCGTTGTTTTCCCCGGCCGAATTTTAGTACTAGTTAGACTAGACTGGGTACTCCACCCTCACTCGCAATTTTCGGTACAGGAGTCAGGTAAAAGACCATTCGAAAAGCCATTAGCTCAGAAAACTTTACAATTGTTCAACGTTAAACGAACATCTGATTTGAGAATACGTAAACCCACCGTCGTCAGCTATCGATATCCAGCAGATTTAACACTATCTATTTTCAATATTAGCTGCATTCAAGTTTTTTTTTTCCAACGTTACGGCAGCTAATACACTCGGATACAGGTGACCCAAAAGAAACATCATTGATTTTGTACCCTTTGATGCAACTATAGTTATTCTCATTGATAATCGATTTTTTTTTTCTTGCAGAGTTCTTTGCGGATGGTTTGGGAAGATTCCGTGTCGCTTCTTGCACCAACGTGGAAGTCAAACATCTCAGTGACACATCCAACAGGCATTATAACAAGGCTCGTCACACCGGGGGGACCATTAATTACTACAAGCTAAAATACATCTACTTCAGAAATAACTTGTTTAACCTCCTGATAAAGTAAGGCGAATGTGATCGACAGCATAATTAGGAAAGGCGACGCTGTATTTGACGAAATATAATCTAATAAACGTTGTTTCACATGTTGCTCTCAGGTAAATTTAAATAAATTGTACTCATGGGAACGGTGGTGAATTCAAATCTGGAAGTTCTTTTTGCAAAATTTCCGAGCGTGTTGATAGCCTTAGAAATAAAATCGTATCGCCTTCAAAGATTTACTAAAAAAGCATGTTATTTGAAAGAACACGTCTTTCTCTACATTTCATTGTAGTGTCGGCATGTCATTACTTCCCTTACAATGTGTGAAGTTGAAATACAGCTGACTTGTTTAGAATTCGTTGGTCTTGAGATAAAAACTGACTTGCCTTTATCCAGTATCAATCCAATGATAGTCTAAGTCTCTCAAATCGGATTATACTTTCTTTCATTCACCTATCCCATAGCTGTACGGTGTACGTTCGTTGGTAAACAGCTAGGTGGCGCTTTGACCACACCATAAGTCACGGTTCCGTGAGACTAGTCTCAGGACACTTTGCACCAGGGCACTTAGCAACTGCAATCATGCAGAATATTTACGGGCAGTCTCCACAGAGGTTTTACTGGAACCTCGCATTTCTTGCAATTCACTTAAACGTAGAATAATAGCATTACAACCTCAGAGCTGTCTCGTTGCTATTATATACGATTTTATTGGAGACGCTTCGTGTTTATGTGGTAGAGATTAGTCTCTCCTAAATAGCTCCCCAAGGCAGTGTATAAGTAGAAGAAATCGGACCAAATTAGGTAAATAACTAGCCTGGATGTTACGTTTGCGTGAAGGTTTCATCCGATATGAGTAATGATCAGGCCTGGAGTAAACTGGAGCTTAGAATAGGATGGATTCTCTCGGTCTTCTCTCCTGGAGTTTTAACTCTTCTGACAAAGTATTTGAGCCATTTCTGTCACTGTTATCAACCAAAAGAGCCTGGTGGAGACTAGATAGAAAATGTGTCCCTAACAGGCCTGTGTCCGAGACTACCCCGCCCAGGTGAGCCGCCCGCCATGTGGGATTGGCCCAGGGCAGCCGGTCACGTGATCTTCAAATGCAAGATGGGGGGAAAAGAAGATGGCGGAATGTTGTGAGATGTTCAGGGTAAATCACCGTCCTCCCGCCGCCTCCCGGGTCCATGGAACTCTAGATTTTCCAGCCTTGCTGTCCGAGTGTGAGGTTGCGGCTACATGGGTGCGATCCTGATCGCGCAAAGGGCCAGGTTTGGGACGGACGTGCAGTCGGGCGTTCATACTACCGCAGGTGAGCCAACCCAACGTTATTGTAATATACAACACAGGGACGTTCACGTCATGTCATCTTCCTCTATCTCCCGGTGCCCACGTTTTAACGTCGTTAGCGGACCGCAGCTGATGGTGGATGAGACGAACTGTCCGTTCCTGTCGCCGAAAACCGTTTCTCAAATGCCACTTTTGCTCCCCCGGTTCGCCCACAAATTGGATAACGTGTTTAGGCAACAACGGGGAAGATAATGAATTCGTTTATCAGGTTATGGTCCCACGTGAGGTACTAGTATATCTAGGTAACTAGTATAAGGTGTTATACAAACCCAGTGTACGTACCACAGGAATTCCTTAATCCGGATTCTCATATCCTAATCGTCACCGTACCGAGTTAATCTTTATCCGTATCCAAACAAAAGTGACACGGTTATTTCCGGGGCAAAATCCCCCGTTACCTTCCACTCGAGTGGGGACATGTAGCGTTATCTAAAGTCGATTGTCACTCCGATAACTTGTTAAGTCTCGCGCGGGCTGTAACAACATAAACCTTAATCTCGCAATTTTCACTTTTAATTGCCTAATTAACACTTCATTTTACAGTCCAACTGGAAACCAATACAAAGTGCACCATACCAGATGGCAAAGCCCTAATTTGGATAAAGGGAATAATTATAAGTGTAGTAAAATCTTTGCTACATTTTTGCTTGATACATTGTATTTTGATTAATAGCTACAGGTTCGCACGACATCTGGATAGACAAAGGTTCAGACAATCACATGTCTTGAAAGGAAAAGGTCATGGAAGGAAAACAATGCCGTGTCAATTTCTTCTGTATTCAAACTTTGCATGTGACTCATTGTGTGAAAGGTTGTATTGTCTTGTCATTGTGTGGTGTAAAATTGTAATTCCATCATGTAGTGCTTTAAACTTTTAGATGAATGTCAAGTTGTTGAAAAGGGGTCATTTATTTAATGCTTGCATACCTTCAATGCTGATACAACTGAATGTAAATGTATGTATTCTAATATTATTTAGATTTATTTTATTACTAAAAGCAAAAAAAGGACAGCAAATTTTATTTTTGGTACAATAACGATATCAATAACTTTCAGGAAATACAGACTTTTTATTGTATAGGTTGATTTTAGTTAGAGGTAT